AGGCAAGCTTTTAAAAAAGTAGGATCCTTAAAAATTGATACATTAATTTAGTTAAATACTAAAAATAATGTACTTTGGATATTTTTCTGTTAGTTAGACAAAATATTCATCAGAGATAAAAGGGCATATTGTGCGGCCCGGCTAAATGGATAGCTTTAAAAATACGTGGGATGCTTAAAATAGATATATAAATTTATTTAAATTATAAAAAATATCTAAGTATTGTAAATGGAAAGAAAATAGGGAAATTAAAAGGGAAAGGAAGCTAAAGAGAAAGAAATAGGAAATTAAAAAGTTTGAGAAAGGTGAAGATAATAGAAGAAATTAAAAGGGAAGGAAAGGAAAATAGAATAGTTTATTAAAATTTTTTATGAGGCTGATTTTTCACATATTATTTGAGACTATTGTTAAAATAATTAATGTTAGTGACATTTTCAATAATGATATATATGTTGTCGGCGTATAGCCAGTCTACATTTTGTAGGTTACTGGTATTTGTGATGTCACTAATTAGTAGATTGAAAATGAGGGGTGGCACATCCTTGTTTTATACCACATTTTTGTTTTAAAAAAGGTAGGGTTAATCTTTTGTGTTTTGAAACTATTTTCATAAATATTTATAATAATTTTGAATGTGTGTAGCTGGAATAGAAAGTTTAAATTATTGATGTTATACTTTTTGTAAACTAAGGGTGTATGATGATTGTTTGATTTGTAAAAACTCATTTTTATAAATTAATAATATTATTTACCCTTAATTTGCTTTTCTTCTCAAAATAAATATGGGCTGAATTAATATTTGAATGATATTTATTTTTTAATATCAACCCTTGTAAAAACTCATTTTAATAAATAAAAAAAAATAATTTACCAGGATAATAGTTGCTTAATCAGCATCTGTACAATCATTAAGAGAGGTGAAGACAGGGCTTGTTATCTAAAATAAAAGCATAAGAATAATTATAAAAATATTAATTATTAAACCTGAAGAGGAATCAATATTAGGTTCAACTCTCTAGAAAGAGTGGGCATATCATCAAAAGCTAAAATTGATGTATTCTAAATGTAAAAAAAAATATAACCATTTATAATTTAATTTACTTGAAAGAATTGAATGATATTTATTTATTGATATTAGCCCTTGTAAAAACTCATTTTTTGGAAAATAAGGGTATGTGATTGTTTGATTTGTAAAAACTCATTTTTATAAATAAAAAATATTATTTACCCTTTCTTCTCAAAATGAATATGGGTTGAATTAATAATTGAATGATATTTAATTTTTGATATCATAAATTAAAAATATTATTTACCAGATTATAGTTGCTTTTTATTTGAGTCTTGCTTTCTTGGATTTTCTTCTCAAAATATTTCACCTATAAAAAAAGTAAATAAATAAATTTTTTTATAAATTATAAATATTATTTACGAGGATATGCTTTTTATTTGAGTCTTGCTTTTATTAAAAATAAATAAATTAATAAAAATAAATAAATACGTAACGATGACATGACGTAGCGATGACATGACGCCACAATGACGTAGTGAGGACATCGGAAAATTATATTATAGATATATCAAAGTATAAAAATGAAAATCATTTAACGAACGCGCGCTAAAACTTTTCAAATTTATTATATAACAATTTTGAAAAATACAAATTTCATAAATTAACCATAATTGTTGGATAAACTTTATAAGATATGTTATGTCATTAGGAAAGAAGGCATTGGAGCTCAAGCCTCCTGAAAGGCTTTTAGAAAATATTTTATTTTTTTAGATATTATTTAATTATGTAAATTTCATAATTTCTATTGTGTGGCAAAATTACCTATTATTGCTATTTTAGATAGAATTACTTTTTTGCAAACATTTAATAAAGACCTATTATATTGAAAAATCTAGCCAGCATGTGTGTCAGAGGTATAACTAGCCTTTTCAATCTCAGGGGTATTGTTGTTTGATTCGATTACAAAAAACGGCATCATTAAGATTATAACCAAAAGAATATTATGTAAGTCTAAAGATTTTGCACAGCTAGCAGAAATGCTTGGACATCTATTTGCCAAATCTTGATGCTTACATGATATTATTTTAGCTAATCGTAATTGGACTGTTTTGAAAAATCGACCCAAATTGGGCTTTTTAGCAATACTACACATGGGGTTCAAAAAAATAATTTACAAAATGTTGATTAGTCTTATTTGAATATTATTTATTTTTAAAATATATTAACGTTGATTGTTTAATATGTTCAAATTAACTTTTTTTTATATATATACTATGTTTTTAGATATAAAGAAATAATATATATAATAATAAATTTGATTTAAAAAAGAATTAATTTAAATAGTTTATATTAGTTTCTTTTATGGTGCCCCGGTTACGGTGGTACGTTTTTCGTTTTTCTTTCTTTTTTAAAAAATAAAATAAAGTTAAATAATAAAAGTTTAAAATATCCTTACCTTGAATTCTTTTGTAAAAATAAAAGGTAATGGAATTACTTATAAAATTCGTTGAGATGATAAAAGGACAAATAAAATTTTTTGACTTTTCTTTTCGATAGTCAAAATTTTATCCAAATTTACAAAATTATAAAAGGTAAAAAAATTTTTTATTTAGAATAAATATAACTTGTTAACTTCTTGTTTCTTTTATGGCGCCCTGTTACGTTTTTGTAAAAAAAAAAAGAATAAAATATAGAAAATTTGCCTAAAATTAAAATAAAAAAGTATAAATTAAATTAAATTTGAAATTGATGACTAGCTTATTTATTGATTTGACTACCTATTGTGACGATTGCTTTATCCATTGAGATGACTATATTTATATGACTACCTATTGTGACGATTGCTTAATCCATTGAGATGACTCTATTTATATGACTACCTATTGTGATGACTATCTAACCTATGGAGACTGCTTAACCTATGGAGATGACTACCTATTATGACTACCTTATCTATTGTGACTACCTAATCTACTGAGATGACTATCTAACCTATGGAGACTGCGTAACCTATGGAGACTGCTTAACCTATGGAGATGACTACCTATTATGACTACCTTATCTATTGTGACTACCTAATCTATTGAGATGACTATCTAACCTATGGAGACTGCTTAACCTATGGAGATGACTACCTATTATGACTACCTTATTTATTGTGACTGCCTAATCTATTGATATGACCAATGCCTAATCTATGGAGATGTTAGCACGTTCTTTCATGCAAAAAGCTTCTTTCTTCATGGTGTCCCGGCTCTGGATGTTGGACTGGAATATGATAACCAGCACCTAACCTAATGTGACAACCTAGGAAGAACTGATATGGAAGTTGAACGATAGGTTATGAATTCTATTTTGTGAGACCAATGATATTAAAGTGTAATTAAAACATATGAATTAAAAGGGATTGATTTAAATAACCCTTATAAGTAATACTTAATATGATAAAAATGTTTTTGAAATAAAGCTTTTGAAGACAAAAGGTTATGTAAAAATTAAACATCATTATTTTAGAAAAATATTGTGTGAAATTTAAATTTTTTTTAAGAGAGGGAAATGTGCATAATATTTGCATATTTTAACCTCGGAGATTGAAAATAAATAAAAATAAATTAAGTATTAAAACGCTACTAATTAAATATGGAAACGCTAAAAAATGTAAAACGCAAAAAATATAAAACGCTAAAAATATAAAACGCATAAAATGCTAAAAGTATAAAACGCTATGATTAACTTAACACCTAAAAAATAATATAATAATTTATCATTCCTTATTCTGGATTAAAATTTTATTCCTTATTCCATAAATTATCATTCCTTATTACATATTGTTCCGAAATTCAAAATTTTATTTGTGCATATTATTCATATATTTTATTTGATCAACTATTCCAAATTACATATTCCGATTTATTACAAATTCCAATATTCAACTGGATTAATGATAATAACAATTTTGAGAAATGTGAACAACATACGATAAGGATATCAAGCCTACAAAAAACGTACAAACTCACGCAACTCTAATAAACGATTTTATCAAACCTACGTAATAGAATCAAGCCTACGAGAACATTTGAGACTTATGCGCTAACCACGAAGAAACCGAGTACAATCGAAACAGAAAAAACTTCTAGGACAACAAGCTCTCGATGACTGCTGAGAAAAAGCTTTGTTCTTTGTAGAAGAGGGGGAATGTTGATTAGTCTTATTTGAATATTATTAATTTTAAAAATATATTAACGTTGATTGTTTAATATGTTCAAATTAACTTTTTTTTATATATATACTATGTTTTTAGATATAAAGAAATAATATATATATAATAATAAATTTGATTTAAAAAAGAATTAATTTAAATAGTTTATATTAGTTTCTTTTACAAAATTATCTTTTTTTAGCCAACATTATCTAAATTACCTTTCTTTATTTGATATAAAAGAAATTTCAAAATTTTGATGTAACTTTTCGAATATTTTAAGGGGGCTCGAGACCCCCTTTACCCCCCCCCCCCCCGATATACTAATAACATATTTTTTATTTCTCTTCTCATTGCATAGTCTATAATAACAACAAAGTAAAAAACTTGAAATTTACAAAGCTGTTTTTTCATACATTATTCACCACTAAACCTCATTTTTAAAAGATATCCATGAATCTTTTTATAAAAATACAATTTAATTAGTATTGATTTTGTAAAATCTCTCAAAACGAACCCTTTAAATTTTATTTATAAGTTTGCTCTCTCTCCCTCACTCCCTCTTTCAAGGAAATTAAATCTAACCAAGGGCTCTATTACCATAATATTTTTTTACTATTTTTATAGTGGTGTCATAGCAATTTTAAAATTTACTATAAGGTCTTCGATTAAGTATTGGACTGTAAAATGACTTTATATAGTCTTTATCTTCAGTGACATAAAATCTGTTTTATTAATTCATTAAATAAGTGACTTAATATATTTTTACAAATTTTTGATATGAAAATCTTTCATAATAATTTTAATATTTCTTTAAATTGGATATTAACAATCATTTAAAATATATATAAACATTATTCAGCCGTCACTTATGAATTATAGATAAATGAATGCTATATTTGGTATTAAATTCTGTTTGTTCTCAACGAGAGGTCATTATAAATTATGCAAATATCATTAAAATAATTATTCTATGAAAATGGGATGTTTTGGAGCCTTTAAAGAGGATGACAAAGATGAAAAAGAGCAGAAAGAAACAAATAAAAAAATAGAGAAGCAACTACAAAAGGATAAACAGATTTACAGGGCTACACATAGATTGTTGTTATTAGGTAATTATTATTGATCATTTGACTAATACATTATTATTTATTTAACAATTTTTATTTATTTGTAAAATATGTATATGTTAAGCCTAATAAAAGAATATTTACATTTCTGTAACTGCATGATTGTTAGGTTTAAATCATTAATTAAATAATTTCTCTTTTTAAAAAATCATCATTTGATCTCAATATTATAATATATAATTTGGCTCTCATCAAATATTACAATCCCATAACTAATTACTATTTATTTATATGCTAAATATTTAATAATTTGGCATATTATATTTTATGCTTAATCTAATAAAAATAATAAATATTTTTACACTGAGGGGGGAGGGGTAATTACATTATTTATTGATCATTTAAAACACATGAAATTAGTTGGATTAAATATTAATTATGTAAGTTCAAGCATAGAATTATTAATAATTAATAGATGACTATTAAATTCTATATCTAGATATGTCAAGGACATGTGGTGAGGATTGATCAAAATAAAGATAGTCAAGGCAGCATTTTTAAAATCTACTTTTTGTTTTTACAAATTACCATTATAATCAGAGATTGATACTCCAACTCAATACCTTAAGGTATTGGTCTTAACCACTATTTAGAGGTTGGCCTCAACTGGCCCATTAGAATATTTTATCTGGTTCTTGTGGCCAACTTGGTCCATGGCAGATAAAGTATAGTTTATACAAGTTGTATGCCTCGGTCTGTATTAGTTTTCACTTAGAAAACATTATTTTATTAATTGCTTTTGAAAAATTTTCAAAACTTTAGCCCAGCCTATTATTAGTGTACAAAAATTTAAAGTAAATTTGCAAAAATATTTAGCAAATAAAAATTTATAGACAAATGAAATAAAGATTAGCATGATCTAAAGTGCCAAAAGTAGTGTTGTTAAATGGCTCATTTTGAGGAGATTTTTAAAAATGGCTAACTCAATATTTCACCTAGAATAGTATTACGCAAGCCTGAAGATTTTGTTTTTAGAAAGAACAAGGTTTGGAAATCTATTAGCGAAATCTCTAGGCCTAGGCAATATTTTTCTGGCTAAAATATTTAGTTAGTTGTTTTTAAAAATCGGCTCAAAATGAGCCGTTTAACAACACTACCCAAAAGCAGAGTTTGATGATTCCATCTTAAAAGATTTTTTATGCATGAAAATAACAAAAGATTTACTTATCATTTTAAGTAATTTGATCCAAAAAAATTTTTTTTTTAAAGAATCTCCAAAAACCTTGCTTATAGGCTAAGCCATGCATAAAGATTTTATATGGGGGAAAAAAAATTATAGCTAAGTCTGGGCCAAAATCTTGTAAGACCTTTTTTCTTCATAAAATTATTCTGGACTTGACAACTATTACAACATTATTTTATGGTGAGGTAAGTTAAAAATATTATGTGCTAACCTGAAAACATTTTATTGGTGGTGCTGGCCATATCAATCTTTAGCGTAATCTGTCTTGTTTTTTTTATTCGTGGATTTAGTCAGATGGATGATCAACACAAAAAATCATTGATGATAATAATCGTGAGAAAATAAAAGAATCAATAACAATTCTGAAGATATTTAATTTTATTTGATATTGGTCAATAAAGTAAATCATTTTATTATTTCAAAATAAAAATAGAACTCATTTTGCTTGACAGTTTAATGTTGGTTCTTTTATTATTTTTAGAAACAAAAAAAGGAAATGTTCATAGCAATGATTGTTTCTCTGCAGGGTTGCCAGGCCTACCAAATTGACTAGTAGACTACCACAATTTTTTTTAAAAGCCAAAATATACCATACACTACTACCACATTTTATAATTTCCAAAATATACCACAAAAACTCTCACAAAATTTCCCACATTGGAAATTAAATTATTTTCAAAAATCATGTTTTTGAAAATTTTTATATAAAATATTTTATATTTGAAAAAAGAAATTTCAATTACCTCTTTATATTGAATCCCCTCATCTTAAATTTGTTATATTTTATCTGATAATCAATAAAAGGACAGGAGTTTTTATAATTAACAACAGCTCTACCATATTAGCGAATTTATATAAATTTTAAACTTTTTTAACCCCCCCCCCCCCGCCCTTATATTTTTATAAATATTTGGAAAATAAATAAAAAGCTAGTGTGATTTAGGCCAGAAATTAGACTTTTTAACCTGGCCAGAGGTCAGAAAAACTAATATGGGGATGAAGCCTCCTAAAAATTTCCCGAAAACGTACTACAGTTGAATAATTTTACCTGGCAACCCATCTGACCCCTTCTAGAAATGCTGTGTTATTAAAACGGCCCGATTTTTAAATAAACTAACCTAATATTTTAGCCAAAATATATTACGGCATCATGGAAATTTTGCTCATAGATGGCAGAAAGGTTTGTGCCTTTAAGAGCAAAATTTCGAGGCTTGTGTTATATTTATTTGGTTAGAATATTGGATTAGCCGTTTTCAAAAATCGAATTAGGATTTACTGAAGTCATATATTGTAAGAAGAAAAGTTAAATAGTTATTCTACCCCCCCCCCCCCCCCCTATCCCCCCCCCCCCCCCACATCCCCCACACACACTTTAACGACATTAGATGAAATTCGAATTATATATTTCGCAATTTTCTACGAAAAACAAGTCTCTTCCAAAACTAAAAAAAAACATTATTTTTGCCGATATTTTAGTTTATGAAAAAAAAATTTGTTACTATTTTTAGCTACACCATAAATTTCCAAAAAAAAACAATATTTTTTTTGTTTATTTTATTTTATTTTTTTGTCTTTCTCTTTTAAATCCCTATGCAATGAAACCTGCGTAAGATGACCACATCACTCAAGGGCGTTTATTATTTTTTTAAAAATTAAAGAGGGGGGCAGGAGGGGGCATGGTTAATACGTATAACATGCCATTTTGAAAGGGGAGGAAGGGCCTAACCTTGAAAAGGTTTATATAATTTTATTTTTTTATTTTTTTTGAATAAGATGAAAGCAATTTTAATATATATTAATTAGCGAGCTTGAGAAAGAAAAGTATTTGATCCCTTTTGTGCTATTGAATTGATATAGTTTGTTTAAAAAAAATAAAATAAAGACAATGAAGTTTCATATTACGCACAAATTGAGAGTTTTAAACGCTGCATTGCAAACGCAAATAATGCATGCACATTGGTAAAATTGCCTTTTGGCAGAGTTGTTAAGGATACATTTTTTTCAAAAACACCAAAATTGAGAAGTGGGAGCGGGAGCTAGCTCCCTTTAGGGCTGGAGTGGAGGAGCGCCGCTCCACCGCTCCTTTAAATTTAATGTATAAATTAAATTATAAAATTTAATAAAAATGAAATTTTATTTTATTTAAATTTATCCATTATTAAATGTTTAGCCGAGTTTTATATTGGTTTTTCATCAAATCATTTTAAATATTAAACATCAAGTTTTTCCTTTTTATATTGAAATTTTTTTGGAAAATCTTGTACATTTTATAGATATATAACAAAAAATAGTTTTCGATATTATGGATTTAGAGATCATAGATGAAGAAATCATCGAATTTACATTTCCAATATACAAAAAATATTTTAAACTTCTATAAGATGTTAATCCAAATGATCAAACAAATTTAAGGGCAAAATGCCTTTTGTGTTTAAATCAAACTATTTGATTTTAAAAGTGAGCAGCTTCAATCTAAAAAAGAATCTAAAAGTAAAAAAATCTTTCTTTTAAATACAAAATGATTTAGAACATTTTTTAGGATTCCATGAAATTGATCATCAGGAAGAATATATATTGGACAAATATTTTTTAAATAATGATACCAAAATTACTATTCTTGAGAAATTTCCTTAATTAAAAAATATCTTTATAAAATACAATACCTCGCTTCCCTCTATGCTCCAAAGGAGCGCCCATTTAGTATTGCAAAAGAGGTCTTAGGGGAGAGGCGTGGATGTTTGTTAGATTCTAATTTAGAAAATTTATTACTTTTAAAAGCTAATAAAAGGTTATAAATATTTTGATAGATCATTTAATATAAATAAAGTTTTGATAAAAAAATATGATTTTGTTTCATATACCTTCTAAAAAATGAAAATCAAAGGAGCGGTTATGGAGTGGCACTCCATTACTTGGAACGGGAGCTAGCTCCTTTTAAAAATGTAGGAGCGGGAGCTAGCTCCTCTTGAGAAGGTAGGAGCGGGAGCAGGAGCTAGCTACTTTTAAAAAGGAGCGTTAACAACTCTGCCTTTTGGCGTTAGCAACCATTTTAAAAAAAACGCAAACACGTTTGCTTTTTTTGATACCATTTTTTTATTCCTTATTTTTAATATCTAATACCTAAAAATATAACTTAATTAACTTTTAAAATATAATATTTATAAATTCATGAAATAAAAAAGGTAGACGATATTAGAATGATTAAAATATCGAATCGACTATATTAATCAAAATGGCAACCTCAGTCTTTGTGCGTTACTGGCCAAACGCAAAAATGCAATTTGTGCCAAATAAAACAAAATGTTAAGTAAGGCCCATAAAAATATGAATCGAATAATAGTATCATTCGTATTCGATTCGGATTTTTGGACCGAATAATTGGCTTCGAAATCGGAAGGAATGGAAAAAACCCGCCACGAGAAATATTGCAAATAGTTTGAATAATATTTTATATTATTTGTATCTATAACTGAGTTAATTACTCCATTTTTAACCAATTCGCTCTTATCTTATCGGGGGCTTTTTTTCTTCATAGGAAACATAAATTATATAGCGCAGCTTAGTTAGCGGATTTTCTTCTGCGGGCACCTTAAGATTAAGATTTTTAGTCATTTCTCAACTATGCTGACTATCTAGTATGACTAAGAGGGTACCCACTCCCCAATGGATTTTAATAACCCGATTCGTGCCCACTCTATTAGAGGGCCCTTATCCAATGTTCTCAATACATTATTATTTACGGAAAGCAAATCGGATTTGGATTAGATATCTGCAAATGGCAAAATTTTAAAGGTTCGGCCCGGTTTAATAAATCTTGTTCCTGTCCGTGTTTTTTTAATTTAAGGCCTAACCCGATATTTATGCAGTTGAACACCATATTAAATAACTATTTATTGGGTAGTGGTTAAATTAAAAACGATAATTTTTGGATTTTATATCACTTCTATCAAATATCAGAATTCATCAATAGGCTTAATTACATTACATAACTATGATTTGACCATGTTTTAAGAGCAAAAGATTTAAATTAGGGTTATATTTTTGATCACGCCCTCCCATTATATAGTCTTTCGCGGTCTCACTCCAAGTTAACTTTTTCTGTGCCTCCATCCTGGTTTTTCGACCGTATTAAGAAATTACAAATATTTTATTTGAAGGATTATTTAAAAACACTATTTTTTTTTATTTAAAAGGATAGATAAATATATATTCAAAATTCAAATATTCTAATGATTATTTTGCCGAGCCCGGCCCGTTACTTTTTTTTGCCTGGCCCGTTCCAAATAATTTTCTTTCCTGCGTTACCCGACACGAGTGCGGGGCAAGACCTTGCCGACATCAAATTTTAATATAGGATTGAATTGGCGAAGTGGGACTTTTATTTTTGACTAAATTAAAATTATTTGTTCGGTAGGCCTATTTTACGATCGGGTGTGGCGAAGCATTCGCCGGTAACGAAAGATAAGAAATCCATATATTTGAAGAGATAAACATGCATCTATTTTTTTTTACAATAGTCCATAATTAGCAAGGATTAGGATTCAGTCATTAAAAAAAGAATCTTTTAAAAACTAATTAAGCAGTTTTTTTTTATTTAAAATTATATTGAACAGCTAAACAGGATTCATTATTATATAATATAAGCTTCCTTAATGGGATTTTTTAGGAATCTTAGTTTTACTGGGATTCTTATTTTAGTCACTTCGGTATGACTAAAATATGCTACCCCGAAAACTACGCATTCCCTATTATATAAACGCAAATTTAAAAATATTAATATTAGAATTGTGTTTAACGGATCGAGTTAATTTAGAAAATGGAAAGGATTTCAGTAGGCTACCGCTAAAATAAACATTTCCGACAAAGCTCAACGTATTCTCTATAATTTTGTGTATTTTTGTTTAAAAAAATGAACGCAAAATCATGTTTAGCTTTTCGGGGGGATTCGGAAAATGGTATTTCTCGGTTTCAGCTACGGGTTGGTTTTCATAGTTTGTTTCATGGTTTGATTCGGTTTTTGCAATCGGTCTTCAATCTAGACCGAAACGGAAAAAAGACATATTCTTTTTATAATTATTAAATAAAACATAAACAATTCAATGAACTTCGGTTCCCTTGTAAACTATGGTTTTTTATCCAGTTTGGTGACTTAGTAGCCAGACATGGCCTTGTTAAAGGGTTCACATTTTAAAAAACGGCTCGACCAATATTTTGGCCAAAAAAATATTTCGCAAGCTTGGAAATTTTGCTCGCAGATGGCAGAAATATTTGGGGATTTCGCTCATAGATGGCAGAAAGATTTGGACATCTACTAACGAAATCTCGAGTCATGCGTATTAATATTTTGGCTAAAATTTTAATTTAAAATTGGCAAAATTGAGCCGTTTAACAAAATTAGCTAGACGGATACAATGTATCACGTGTATTTGGAAAAATGGAATATTTTTAAATATATAAACTTAATGTTAAAGGTTGCTATATTCTTATTATTCGATTACAACCTTATTACCATAGGCGTCACTCTTTCTTTTTTTCCATGTGGGAGGAAGGGGCTTAAAAGCTTATTTTTTGAGCATCGATTTACCAAATATTTTTTTGATGTTTAATTTAATCTCTTTTACGTTCCTTGTTCGTCTTTTTTTTTTCTTTTTAGAATTCTGTTCTAAATAGCTTTCTAAATTGTATTTTATTTTTTTTAAGTTATACCTTTAAGCGTATTTTATGGATATCGATTCTTATATCAAAAACTATATATAGAATGTCCTATCTGTTTTTCTTATTAGAACGCTTTATTCAGGATTAATATTAATTCAAAAAAATTAAGACGAGATATGACGCAAAAGCAAAAGAATGTTTTTGGGTTATTGGCTCTTAAAAACTTCTTATTTCTCTTATCGATTTGATAGGTTTATTATTAAATCAATATTTTTTTGAAAAATAAATTTGATTTATTTTTCTTTCGATTTTTGAATTCACACCTTTTTCTTTCTTTCATTTTTATTTATAGATTTATTTATAATAATAAAAATCAATGCCATTTCAATTCAATAATTATTATATTTTCAAAAAAGTTTTGAATTTATTACCTTTAATTTTAAGCAAAACAATAATAAATAAGAAATGTTATAATGGCGGGGGAGGGGGGTAGACATTTTTTAAAAATGATCTGCTAATGGCTGTTTATAAAAAAACCCATATAACCTTTTAAGGATAAATAAAATAAAATACGGCTTTAAATGGGTTCGAGTCCGCTTATTAAGAATCGACCCGGCCGGCAAAAAGATTTTCGGACCGGGCAGGATAATCTTTACAAATTTATTTTACGGGTCGGGCCGAATAACCCTTTTCAAAAATTTAAGCGGACTGAATCTAGCTGACCCACACCCAGCTCTAATATATAATAATTATTTGCCATGAATTTAGAAAAATATGATATTTAGTTTAACCTATCACAGCTTTACCTATATACCATAAATATCATTTATAATCAAAATAAATTTTCTCGTAATGTCGTTACGACAAAATATCTAAAAAAAATTTTTGAAGTAGTCCTACGATACCTTTTACATAATGAAAGATGGAGCTTTTTGGGGGGTTTATTTGGCGATATTCCTAGTCACGAGTGTTTCAAATTTTAGTAGCTAAGCTTCTGGCACATTCTATTAGGTTGGGAGTTAAAGCAAATAGGACACGATCTTATTTAGCAACCAGTTTTTTGATATATTTCATATCAATTTTTTTTGAGTAGCCAGTGTAAGACATTGATTAAAAATGATTAGCTTACGGGTTATCAAGCGACAACGAGCATAACAATAGAGAACTAAATTATTAGAGCTAATATTTGATTTCTCCAAAAACATACACACTACTGATATACCATTCGAGATCCACGAAAGAAAAAAATAAATAACATTTCATAGTACAAAATAATAACAACTTTTTTTTACTTATCATTATTATTTATTAATAAAATCAATATCGTGAACGTGATTTATTCATTCATGTATAAAAAAATGTTTTTTTTAGTGGAAGGAAATGTTTCCCATTTTTTGGTCAAATTTGGTTCTCAATATTATATTATATTATATAAGGCTGCACAATTTTTCTGCCAATATTAAAATGGCCTGGTTATAAATGTGTATATTTCGAAATTGGCACAAAGATTGACAGATTGTACCAAAAAAACAATTCTTTTTAAGTTCTCGTATAATATTATCTTGTGATACAAAAGATCACATGTCCTGATGCACTGTTTTAGTAACTGGTGATCGAAAGGATCGAACCCGGATTTTGCTATGCCTCAGTCCAAATAACAAATTTTTTCGAGTTAGAATAACTATTCAAAAAAAATCGATGCTGTTTTATAAGGATAAATTTAGCCATGTATTACGTGAAATAGATCCTAGCTTTAAGCGCAGATTTTTTTTTACTAAACATCGCCTGACTAAATATGGCGATTCGATTCTTTCTGGAAAATTCACAAATTCGCGTTGCAACATTCCAGCTTTTATTTTTCCTACAAAAGATATTTAATTTCACATTAAAATCTGATGGCATCGGTTTATGCCATTTCTCTCTTATAGCGCAACCTAATTGTGGCGTTTGCGTTTGGTAATGCAAAACGCAAACAATTGCATTTCGTATCGTGCACAACCTTTAAACAAACTTTGTGCAAGTTGCTTCCCCCGCCCCATAACCTTTTTAACCCGGGTCAGGCCATATGGTTATGTCACATGGGCCATCTCTATCCCTTACTTAATTTGACGTAGAAAAAAAAGTCTCACTGTTAGATTGTCGTTTACATCTTGAATTTTTATATTTTTTTACAGGAGCGGGAGAATCCGGAAAAAGTACGATCGTAAAACAGATGCGAATTTTGCACGTAGACGGTTTCGACGCAGAGTAACGAATATGATTTTTTTCTTCTATATAATTATTGTTAAATTAAGAGTGTCATCGTTAATTATTCACCCCCTAAATTATCGTTTGAATCGAATATTGGGGTGACTTATTTCCGTTGTTTATATATTTACATTTCTAGGTTTTATTAAAAATAGGAATATATACGTTTCTGTCTTTACCTGTCAGTGATTAGACTCCATACTGAAATATTATAAAAAAGGATTTCACGATTTTAACCAAGGCCTGATGTCGGTTAGTGGAGATGTCATTTATTAGATGTGAGAAAAGGTCATTTGTACCGTTGTTAAACGGCTCGATTTGAACCGATTTTTAAAGATGGCTACTGTTTTACCCAGAAAATTACTATGCAAATCTGAGGATTTTGCTCTTAGATGGTACAAAGATTTGGGCATCTAATAGCTAAATCTCGAGGTTTCGGAAATATTTTTCTGGCTAAAATATTGAGCTAGCCTCTTAAAAATCGACTCAAATCAAGACATCTAATTAGTCTGTGTTGCTTAGGGTTTCGATCTAAAAGTAAATTTAAAGACTTCACAATTTTTTAAAGATTAGAAGAAGCCCTAGACATCATTATTCCTAAATGCGAAATTCTTTACTATGACTTAGTTTTTAAAAAAAATAAAATAAATATCCTTATATACAAATTTTTTTTTTTACTTTGGAGTGGTTTAAGGACCCGATCTTGCGGGTTCGAATCCTGCTCAAACCAGTTTTTTTTAAGATTCAGAAGTTAACCTTCGTGAATAGATAAGGGTTAGAGTTAAAGAGGTAACATTGATATCGGGTTCCATTATTTTTACAAAAATGAGCCTTGTTTGGTAAATTGCTATATAATCGCTGACGTATTTTATTACCCACAAAATTCAGTATGCGTATTTATCGATGTGATATACGTTAATATTAATATGCAGAGTTGTTAAAAGATACTTTTTAAATAGATCTAGATACAGATACAACGTCTAAAATAATATCTAGATACAGATTATTTAATCAAAAATCTATCTAGATACAGATACCACATTTTAATATCTAGATACAGGATCTAGATACTTGTATCTAGATCCTTTAACAACTCTGTTAATATGCATATTTTAATTTTTTAACTAACAAATGTATACTTAGATAAGGTGGGAGGGGGTTCTTATAATAAATAGATTGTTTATATATCAGGGCTTCGAACCGAAACCGGAATGGATCTTTTTGAACCGAATCGTTATAAAAAATATTGAAAGAGCGAACTGAACTGTTATAACTGGTTCATTACGGTTTTTAAAAATAATTAATTTTTAAATTATTAACCTAAATTTGAAATTTTAATTTTCCTTGGGGGGCAATTTTTAATTGGTGATTTCTTTTTTAAGTTAAAATTATTTTACAATTACATCGCCATCATCTTTATATCAATGAATACCAAGTTTATTGTTTTTACTTAATAAAACTCAATTTAATATGGATAAGGCAAATTACTAGTTGATAAGATAAGAAATAATCTTCATGTTAAATTAATTAGTAAAAATATAAATTAAGAGGATTTTTCTCTAAGATAAATATATATATGGTTTATGATTAATTTTTTTTAAAAATTAAATTTATAAAAACCGGAACGAACCGAAATTAACCATTATAAATTATAAACTGAATCGATTAAAATTTCTTCAAAAAAAAATCCATAACAACACCTTTATAAAATTTTAAACTAACGAAATGAACCGAACCGCTATACTTAACGGTTCTAAGCCCTCTGTATAAATATGCCATTCTTTCTTTCATTTCTTTTGGGGTCTTGGTACACCGCGCAAGACTTGTTTTCTGTTTTATTCCGATTGTCATTCTTATAGACGTTGTTAAGATTCATAAACCGTAATCGTCCCGGTATTGTGACCCTTATCCAATCCGCTTACCCACACCATCTTATAGGGGGAGAGGGTAAATCCCTTTAAAAAAAACAGTATTCGAAATTCTTTATCTGCTCATTTTCTAACCAATACGTCAAAAATTTAACAATTACTTTTGTAAGATTATGATCCCTGATCTAAAATTCCTAACATCATAGCCTCGTTTGAGGATCTAAATTTATATAAATTATAATTATTTTGTTTAAAAAAACAAAATTTTTAGAGGTCTTAATTAATGAAGAATTTTAAAAATAAGTTGTTGAAATTTTTTATTTATTTATAGTTAAGCGGATCTTACGTTATTACTAAAAATAACTGAAAATAACAGCTGATTTCATTATTTTCGATACGGTGTTTATATTTTAAAGCAATATCAAAATGTTTAAAAGACGAATTTAGGATTTTATCTATATTTAATAAATTTTTTGGTGTATCACCGGCTGAGTACTATAGTGTTCCATATCCACCTATCGTTTTTTTATAAGAATTTTTGAACGCTATATAACAATTATTTATTTTTTTAAAAAAAATATTGCTATTTCAGTTTCAAGTTCCTCGAAAAAAATAAAACCTAATCAACATTTTTTTTGGCAGTTTTGTACACTTGACCTGTCAAATAGTAAATTTTATAAAGGCTAGTTTTTATTATTAGATCACTCCAATATTATAACGATTTACATTTGCGGTAAAATGGACTGTTTTTTTTTTAAATTTAAGCGTTAAATCAATTGGAGTGAACATACTTAGTACCACCGTTTTTTGATTGGTGCTAATAAACTTAAAAACTTCGGTCCACATTTTATTAAAGTCATACTGTAAATATGTGACTTGATAAACGACGACCAATGTTTTGATGAAACACAAAAAATTGTCTTGGGTTTTGTTAAAAAAAGTGGGTGTATTGTATATTATAGGAATAGTTGAGTATAGTTTATAAATATATCAGATTTTTAAGCCAAAATTAGCTATTTATCGACCATTAAAATTTAATTCCTGCCATTTTAAAAAGGATCGAAAGAAACTGTAATTTTATTAAAATAATTTCTGAACCTGATATTAAAAGGTTAAATTGGGTGGTAACTAGTGTTTGATAAATATTTCGGTTTTAAAAAAAACGATTAATCCGATATTTTAGCCGCAAGAATATTACGCCAGCCTGAAGATTTTGCTCATAGTTGATAGAAAGGTTTGGACATTTGTTAACTAAATCTCGAGGTTTGCGTTAATATTATTTTTGGCTAAAATATTAAATCAAAATGTGCTAAATCGAGCCGTTTAACGACACTAGTGGCATCGCTCTGAGCTGAAGTGGATTGCGTTTTCCCTTTTCAAAATTCATTTATATATCGACCTCTAATTAAACACTTTGATCTATCCCTTCGCATGCCAACAATCGCTTAAATTTGAGGGAGGGATTAATTTTTGGCGGGTTTTTATTAAGACATCTTTCTGTATAAAAAAAATATTAAATTTATAGAGAAAAGAAGGAAAAGGTCGAAGACATCCGACGAAATATCAAAGACGCCATAGTGGTAAAATATATATTTTTTTTTATTGAAAAACAAAAGGATTTATTTTTACTTTTTTTCTCCAATTTAACAGTAGCATTTTTTTGACTAACCGAAAGGATTATTATAGTTATTCTCGCAAAATTTATATTTATAATCCTCCTTCTCGCTTTCCATATTATAACCCCCCCCCCCTCCCTTACGCTGCATTTATAGTAAACGCGATTCGCTCAGGAAAATCACAGCAATGAGCGGTTTTCGCGGCATCATTTTGCATGATATTTAAAAATTATTACTTATCATTGGCTTGCTTTTGTAAATTACATAGCGAAAAATTTGGCATCATATGAGCGAATCTCGCTTACTATAAATTCAGCCCTTTACCTCTTATTTAAAATAGGGATGTACCGATATTATTTTTATCGGATGGGGCCGATTTTTTATCGGTTTTTAAATATCGGTCATCGGCCGATATTATAATACCGATTAGATCCGATAAAAATAGGGTCTTATTTTAGTTTTTTTTTTTGTAAAAATTATTAATATTTAAGAAAACATGTTTATGTATTAAGTTAAAAACATTCTTATATAATTGAGGTGGAAATTTTTTTTTTTTTAAATAAAATAATCGAAATTGTTAAAAATTTAATAAAATATTTAATTCACATTTTTGAAAGGACGGCCTACAATTTTAAAACTTAATAAATAATTTTTAATCTAACAATTTATATTGATTCATGAACAGAACTAGGTGGGAACCAATGACATATAATAATACCTAGACTGACTATGCATTCATAATAATGCATTTGAAAGCTTCGCAGAATGCAAATCAGCTAGACTCGCCAATTTAGTAACCCATATAGTAATCATTCTCATGTTAAAAACTATTAAATTGATAACTTGCTTCCTTATTATCTCGATGATCAGGCAATTCTTTAATAAAGTTTGCGTCAGACATAGGAACAAATTGGCCTTTCGTTTAAAATTTTTAATAATGTACGGGTAATCAAAATGGTGTCCCCAGCTGTTTTCATTGGCGTACACTTTTAATGAATGCATCGTCAAACCCTGCCCGTGTAAACGGGCTAGGCCGTATTTCATTTTTTTAAATATACCCGGGCCGGGCCTTATATTTTAAAACCAAATCGCCATTATTAACTTAAAAAAATTAAAAATAAATATATTTAAAAAAAAATCCGGAATGTACAAATGACATCTCTGCAGGTCTCTGTAAAATATAAATGATTTATCAATATTTACATACTTTTACATTGACAAATATAACATAAATAAATAAGCCTCAAATGGTAAATTTAAATGACTGACTGATATGTTATGTTATATATTTTTTTAAAAAAATTAAAATGTATGTTAAATACGTGTAACAAACAAAATCATTGATATCGGATCAGTAATCGGCCGATATCAATTTAATATCGGTGATATCATATCGGATCGGCCTCCGAAAAATAGTATCTTCACACCCCTAATTCAAAAATTGGAGATGCTTTATGTATTCTTCCACTATGCGATAATGTGTTAAGATTCAACTGTCTAAGTTGCATCTTTACTCTCCCCTCATTCACAGTTACCGCTAATTCGTGGCGAAATATAAATATGCTTTATTTTTTGTATTCTTTGCCGCTAATTCTCGATAACTGTGAATGAAGGGTAATATAATTTACTATCGCTATACAAAGATCTTTTTTGCTCAAACAACAGCTTTGGGCCGAGTGAATTTTCAACTGCTCACTGACGATGGCGTTACTTTTTTTAAGGGGAAAAGGTGACGCCCATTCGTTACTATTTTTCTGAATAGTAACGTAACTCCCATTCGTTATTAATTTTCTTTGGTAGGGAGGGGGTGGGGGTAACGAGAGTTAATAACGTTTCTTTTTTCTTCTTTTGAAAATAAATGAAAGGATAAATAAAGTTTTAATTTTTTAAAGTAAAGCACTAATTAATTTATATTATGGATCACGTGATGTCAATTAATATGGGAATTGGTTCACCATTTTTTATTTTAAATAATTCCATTTAGACTATTACCTCCGCGATGAACGTTATCACGCCTCCCGTGGCCATAGCCAATCCGGAAAACGTGCCTAAGCTAAAATTTGTGCAGGATGCGGCAAGTCAAGCCGAATTCAATTATTCCAACGTTTAATTTTTTATTTATTTTTTTCTCATCCCACTAAAATTATGTCCTTTTTAACATACAGTAAAACTTGTCAAATTTGTGCTCTTGATCATTTGGGCAAATCCCTAATTTGAAAACAAAAAAATTTTTGGGAGCCAATCAAATTCTCATTAACGACTAACTGTGCTAAAATTAGAGGGAAATATAATTTCCAACAAAATTGTTACGGCGTATAAAATAACAATATCAATTTATACAAATTTATCATTAAGCATATTATTAACAATAGCCAATGAAATAAAGTTTATCAATACCTCAACATATCCCACTTATTAAGACGGCGTTATCCCCAATTTTTTGCGTCTCTACCTTACTATTTCCCTGAGTGCCTTGGCGCTGTTCACGTAAATTTAAATCCTTTATTTAGTGAATGCCGTTTCTGTGTCACACTGCTTATATTGATGACCGGCTTGTTTGGTCGTATTTGGTTCCAACGCTCCCTTATCTTTTTCATCTTTGCTGAAGGGTTTCAATTTTCTCATTATCATATTCGTCTTTCTGATTGCTTCGGTGTCCCTTATTCGTTTTCTCCTTGTCCTTTTAGAGAGTTAAAATCGTTTACTTTGTTTTAGTTATGTTGCTCTCATTTTATTCAGCTACACTTTTGTACTTGCCCGCTATCCCTTTCAGCTTAGTCGCTATGAGTTGCAAACGAGGGGAGGGCTTATGGCGAATCTGGTCCTCATCACCTCGAGAAGAGGCGGCTCCTTCCAAGCCTTGCGAAATGGGTACTGTGTGGAGTTGCTTGATTTTGTCAGTGTGATGCTCGATTTCTTCCTCTAAACGATTGGGGATAATGCAAAGTCTTAAAAGGTGGGACATGTTGAGGTATTGATAAACCTCAACATGCCGTAATTATCGTAAATATTAGTAAACCTGGTGGATAATATAATTTTTATTTATTTAATTGTTTATAATACGTTTAATGATTAATTTGTATAAATTGATGTTATCATTTTATATACCTTAAGTAACAATTTTGTTCAATAAAACTTGGTTTAAAATTTATTAGTATGAAAAGATAACTTTTTCGGCGGCCAAGACGAGTCTTAAACTCGCGACCTTCGCGTTATCAGCACGATTATTCCTTCCGGCACAATGTACTAATGTGTTTGAGGCTGTTGGATTAAGATTTAGACCTAAGATCAAGCAAGGTGGTATTTGCCCTTGCAAATCTCTTAATATTCATATACTCATCTCCACACGGATGTTCAAACCTGCCCATACTAACCTATCTTCTCTCCTAACAACGAGCCACATACCTTTTGTCACTTTTATGCAGGTAAAGTATTTTCGACTAATCAGACACAACGGTTTTGTCTATCATTCATGGATTCATAAATCTAAACATCATTCCATACACGTAACATATCTTCTAAAGTCATTCATTCTTTTTGGTACTCAATTCAAAGATACACATGAATTTATAGCAAACGCCTGCAAGCTTAGGTCTCTCCAGTAGAAATAGTAGATTAATCACATTTGGCTATGCGCTTTTGCAAAACACGCGCTTCCATTTAGATTCGGCATGTTACCCTTCTGCATCCGGGATATGAATGATAGACAAGTGGGTTGTGTCTGATTGGTCGAAAATATCTTACCTGCATAAGAGTGAAGAAAAGGTATGTGGCTTGTTCTTAGGAGAGAAGATCAGATCCGTTAGGGCAAGTGACTTTAGTAACAAAATAAGGAGGAGATAGGGTTTGTATAGAGTTGGACGAATACATGAATAGATTTGAGAGGGCAAAGGCCATCTCCTTGTATGAGGGCTTTTTTTGAGGTCTAAATCTTGATCCCGAGTCTCAAACCAACCAGGAAGGGATTTAATAACTACATTTTTTCTTAACTTGCGTCGTAATGAAACATTGAAAAAATATTTTTGCCTAGTACCTTGTACTGATATTTTTAAAAAGGGTAAATTAATACGATATTTTAACGAATTGTGGCGATCGTGATGATAATAAGATATTCTAAATAAATTTCAAGGACCACCATTTTCATGGCTATATGATAAATCAATATATGTAAAAAAGATATTTTAAATTGGTCTAATTTTGACCAATGACGATTTCGAAAACTTCAAAAGAAAAGAACACTTTTTTTATTTAAGAAACTTCACTTCAAATTAGCAATTAATATTTTTTTATGTAAAGGTGAAAGGTAATTCTTTTTGATTTTTCCAGGGTTTTGAACCTAAGAGTTCAAGAAATTTAAAGGTATATTTAGTAGGAATTTTGATGACAGAACCTAATCAAAACTGATTTTCTGAAAGGGGTCTGAATTTGCCCTTGGTCCATATTACCCCAGGTTTGGTGGGTGCCTATATATTGGCTTCTGCTTGGTCTGTAGTCTCATAATAACCAAACAATTATAAATTTCTGAACCATAATTTGGGGGCACAATCTTGAATTTTTCAGGCTAAGTATGGGGATTCGGAGACTTCCATTTTCAGTTTATTTAATGCGGACAGTGATTTTCTTTTTAAATTTGAGTATAAAAATATATAATTTTACCTGAATGCATTCCATGGATAAAAAAAATTCGTGGCGGTATCGACTGGTATTTATGGGGTAGGTAAATATAAATCAGCTCGGCCCAAATTGTTCGTAGAGATTTTTGAGATTGGCCCAGCCCGTAATATGATTTAGTCCAAGTTACCCCGGCCGGTCCTAAGATCTTGTTACCAAGACCTTTGGACTGGGCCTTGCAGACTTACTCGGTCAGATTCCATTTTGAAATCTAAAAATCCATCTATACGTATTCCCCATACGTTACGACGTGTTATATTATAGAATCTTTATTCACCCTATCAAATGAACTTTAGCTCAATATTTCCAAGGTTATGCCATAATTTATTATGATACGTGAATAAAAAAAATATATACAAACTTAGGAATTTTACGACGCAACAAAGTCGCTATGGGCGGACGCCGGAGTTCAAGCATGTTTCGAACGCTCCAACGAATACCAACTCATCGACTCCGCGAAATAGTTTTTTTTATATAAAATTCTTCCCCCCCCCCTCTCCTTTATTCTAATACTACGAACAATAACGCAAATGCATAATTTAATAATAATATGAATTGAGTATTTCTGGAGCCCTTTGTCGAAGAGGTAATTATTAATCCTCCACCCCAGAGTTAGATCGCTCGAGATTTAGATGTCAAACAATAACCTCCTCCCCCCCCCCTTCCAATAATTATATGCAGGGCTCGACCCCACCCTACCTCCCTGAGGTCTTAATTTACCTTGGTCTTAGGTGAGCCTAATTTTTGAAAATAATTTTTTGTTCGGGGCTATGACAAATTTTTTTTATGGTATTTAGGCTCGATTTAGATCTCAAACCCCTAACGCCTTTAAATTTTTAGTAATCCATTCTAACTCATAAATCTTGATGTCCCACCAATATCTCCTCTTGTTTTTTTAAAAAAATGGAGTCGTAAAGATTTCTTAATTTCAAGTTAAAACATTCCCTTTTTTTAAACTTTATAATTGAAGAATATAAGATTTTAAAAGAAAAACCTAGCTAGTTTAAAGTTTATTAAGAAAGGGGATTGATTAAAAATTATTATGCGAATTATGATTATGTTAGGTAAGGCTAGGTGATTCATTCATATTAAATTATTTATATTAAATATTCTTTAGCTTTTTAGATCGCATCGATATGGTTCGTAAAAGTGACTATACACCGTCTGAACAAGTAATTAATTATTGTTTCATTTTTTTTAAAATTAGGGATATATAAAGTAAAACTGTTATTTTTTTAATGGGAATTGATTCGTAGAAGTAATTTTTAAAAAATAGGGGATAAAAATCAACTTATTTTCTATAAAAACTCTATTTTTCCTTCATCCTTACTACTAGCCAGTATCCTACACTCTAGCAGGAGGGATCGACCACCCTGAAAAATTGAAAAATTCCCTAAAGTATCAAAATATCTTCTAAATAATTAAAAAAAGGTCATTTGAACCCCTTGTGATTGTGAGGGCTAATAATACAACTGACATTGGGAAACGTATCTTTCTAGGACTGCACCGATTTTTTGCCGATATTATAATGTCGGACTGTTTATAAATATGTCTAAATTTCGAAATTGGCACAAGATTAATAGATATTTTTTTAATACGTAACCATCATCTTGGAATGTTAATAACACTTTAAAAACCTTATGTTATCAAATAAAAATATGAAAATATTTCAAGGATGGATTGTTAGCGGCAAATAAGATCGGCCTATTGTTTCTGACCTGCAAAACCGATCTAATTTTGGACAAATTTTAAATCGTTCGATTAAAACCTCTTCCTTAAATTTTTTTTTGTTTTTATAACAAGTTGTGATGTTAATAATATCTATATTCCAAGATGTATTTTGCATAAATTAGCTGCCAATATTCTTGCCAATTCTTTGACACCCACATTTATATAATTAGGTCATTTCAATATAGTTAAAAAATGTCGGTGCAACCCTATATCTTTCCTTAAAAAAATTAAACATATGATAACTTAATCTCATCTGTTTTTTGTAGATCCAGCTAGTTACGGAATCAGGCTAAAAAAATTTAAGGAGCTCCATTCTACTTATTTTTATTAATTTATGAAACCGGATAGACCTATGCGCTGACCGAATACCGGCCGCCTATATTTTTGATCACGCCGAGACAACGCCGTTTATGAAAATCACGCCGGCGCATAATTTTTTTTTTGATAATTTTTATATTTTTTACATTTTCATTTTAATGATTGGTCAATATCACCTATTGTAATTGTATAATGTCATCAGAGAAAGTGCATAAATACAAAAGATCTAACATCTGGTACACTAAAACATATTTAAAAGAAGCGAGAATAACGTATAATAAAAACCCACTAGAATGGTGGAAACTACACGGAGATCGTTTTCCCGTTTCAAAAAGGCGATTCCCGTGATCATAATGACATACGTGCCAACTCAAATGATAGTTATAAAATTAAATGTTCAAACCAGATGGCATAGTTTTTTAATTATGCTCGAAAGCATATCTGGAGCTAATAGAATAATTATTAAATTGGATAACATTATTTCAAACTATTAATCGGACTTGTAAAGGGACTATTAATCTTTCAAAAAACAGTTGACACGTTCTAGCTTCACAAAAAGGAAGCCTACATTGAACTTGACATTACTTTTCATAAGTGAAATGGGAAGCGCATTTAATAGTAAATGATAATGATAGCTAGGAAATCATTTCACTTATGGAAAGTATGTTTTAAAAAAAATTTGCGTTACTATTTTCCTGTTCGCGATCTGCAAGTTAATTATGCAAGCATTTTAATTTTTTATTTTAATTATCTAGATGTTTACTTCTTTTCTAGATCTAAGATATCAAAAATTAGATTAGTAATTATAGAGATTGAAAAGCGAGAGGAAACAAATATAAATTATTTGACAAAGTTAGCAAATAAACATTCTACGACAAGCACAAATTACCATTCAAATTTAAACAAAAGGCATCATTCTTAGGACATGGATTGTATAAAATAGAGGATCAAACTTTCGAATCTTCTCACCCTACCCAAAAAATTCTTTGATTTACGTTAAATTCAAGGAGAATATCCTTGTGGACAAATTTAAATAAAATTATTTTCATACAATAACTATAAAATTATAAAAATTGAGTTTAAATTTATAATTCTTTTTCTTTTCAATAAAGATCTAAAAAATGTACCGATATTTCTGTAGTGTATATATTAATTTAGTTCAGCATTTCTTAAAAATAATGCAATTACCTATTTAAAAATTTATATCGGAGGAGCGCCGATTTACTCCTGCTATGTTTAAGGTAGCTAAAATCCGGCGCACTATCAGCCGCCGATTAGGTTTTTAAAACTCGCTTAGGTTTGTCGATGGTATCCTCGGGGCGCAGGTCTAGAACCGGATAACAATTGCCATTTTTGTAGGATCATCAATTTTGCAGAAAATCGAGATGAACATTTATCAAATTTAAATGAGTCTATCTGAAATAAGCTTTAAAAAAATTGGCGTCTTTATTATTTTTAATATTTAAAATCAAAATTGAAATAAATCAAATTAGGACATTCTTAGATGCCGTGTCATAACATCCGGGATATACGAAACTAAATTTCAAGTTGATCGGGTCAATTTCCAGTACGAATCTTGGATCATTTTATATATATTTTTTTTCATACTCAAAGAGAAAGATGGGTAATACATCAAATTAGAAGGAATAGGAGGGAGTAGTGTTTTTAAATGTACTCGATTTTTGAGGAAAAAAAACGGCTAACCCAATATTTTATGCGAAACTTATTACGCGAGCCTAGAGATTTTGCTCGTAGATATCAGAAAGGTAAGGACATCTTATTAACAAAATCTCGAGGCTCGCGTATATTCAATAGGCTAACATTTTTGTTTAAAATTGGCTAAATAGAGCTATTTAAAGAACACTAGAAAGAAGAAACAATCTTAATTGATGATTCGTGAGAGGTTTATCTCATTTATGAACCAATATCTCTAATCCTACAAATGTTGAACTTGAAACAAAAAATAATGACGAATCAACTTAGGAACAGAAATTTAAAATAAATTTTTTTTTTATATACCGGAAATAATTGCGTATTTGTTTTTATTAAAGCATGTTCGACGTGGGCGGTCAGCGTGATGAACGTCGAAAATGGATTCAATGCTTCAACGACGTTACGGCCATCATATACGTGACGGAATGTTCGAGTTACAACATGGTCCTTAGGGAAGACCCCAATCAAAATAGGTTGAGGGAAAGTCTCGACCTTTTCAAGACCATTTGGAATAATCGGTTTTTTTAGAAATATTTATTTACCCCCCCCCCCCCCTTTCCAATATTTCGCCAATTAGTGTTCTTTATTCATTTTTTTTCGTATTTAGATGGGAGGAGATCACGCCATAATAATGAAAATAAAGGATTATTCAAAATTATATTTTTAGTATTTTTATTGATAAGGAATAATACAGTACTGAGGCCGTGTTCTGGGTCGACTTAATACTAAATTGCTAAAAAATCAAAAGAAAGCCACCAAATACTTAAAACAAACCAAAATAGGGTGTCCTAGTTCCAAAAACCTTTTTAAACCTCTAATAAAAAAGCTATTAAGTATGGCAAATTAAGTCGACCCATGACAGTGCCTGAAGGATTGATTTATGGAGAAAATAAAATACATTTTGCAACAAAAAAAATAAGTAGATTTAGAAAACTATTATAACTTTCGACGATTTGTAAATCGCATCCAATTATTACTCAATATAAATCATTAAAAAAAATATATATACTAAATTGAAATTGTTTTTTATACTAAAAATTAAATGTTCTATCTACCCTGCATTTACAGTTGGCGCGGATTTCGTATAATTCGCGCTAAACTATGAATGAGAGGTTATAGGGAAAATTTTTCTTAATTTTTTTTAAAGAATTAAATATCAAATTATTCATTCATTCACCAGGATTTATATTTATTTTTTTACGAATAAGTTGGTTGAGAACCATTAGCGTTATTCTATTCCTCAATAAACAAGACCTTTTGGCCGAAAAAATTTTAGCTGGGAAATCCAAGTTGGAAGAATACTTTCCCGATTTCGCTACTTATCAAACACCGCCCGATGGTTTATTTTGACATTTTTATATAATTGTTTATACCAGGAAGATTTTAGAACATTTATTTAAGAAAGTATTAAGAAAATAAATTGGATTATTTTTTTTAAAATTGCATATTTTTTTAAAATTATTCTTAATTTGTTAATACATGTTTTTTTTTTAAAAAACTACCTATTTTAGAGGAGACTGTAAGAGTACCTATCCCGGGTTTGTAATCCCCCCCCCCCCAATTTTTTTTATCTGATTATAATTTTAAATAGCTGTTTCTAGATAGTTGATTCTTTAGATTTTATTTAAAAAAATATTAGGAATAAATATTCCCTCAAACGCATTTTTTAAATATTAAAAATCTATAATTTTCGATAACAAAGCAGGCTTCTTTTCTAAAAAGAATTCAGAAATTGAGAACAAAATTTAAGTCAAGCTAATACGCAGTTAATTTATGTATAATTGATATGAGTATCGCATAGAATATATTATAACTATTATTTAAATATTCAAATTGGCTCATTTGAGATGATCAATTTAATTTCTACGCATTTCAAATTTGTTTAAGAAAATAAATTTAAAATTATAAAATGGAAAATGATGCTATAAAAGATTAATTTATTTATTTTCGAAATAAATGATTTATTTGTAGCAATCGCGGAACCCCGCGAAAATCAACTCGTGACTCGAGCCAAATATTTTATTCGGGACGAATTCTTAGTGAGTATTATTTTCATTTAAAATTATTTGGACGAAATACAAGGCATCTTGTAAAAATGGCCAGTACCGCTTATTTATTTATATTTTTATAAATATCACATAAAATTATTTGAATTTGCTTGTTATTTTTTGTAAATTGTCTAGATAGAAATACCTAATAAATATTGGATTTAAGATACCGATGCGAAATACAATTTATTTAAAAAAAAAATTGACATAATGTCACACCCTAAATTTTATGGAGGCTATATTATTTATTTTTTTTAAATGACTAAAAAAACACTTTTTATTCATTTAATTTTAATAATTTAATTATATAGATAAAATAGACAATTTATTTCTCAACTTTCAATTTTTATCTTACTTTTTATTTTATAGCATTCATTTTACGTGAATCTTTTAATATTCATAAAAAAAATAAATCAAGACAACCTCTATAAATTAAATAATACGATTTTACTATAATTCTAAATATATTAAAGGCGAATGAAATTTAATAATATATGTTTAGATTTTTACCGAGAATCTATGAGCTTTTTGGCAAGCTATCTTTTAACATTATGAGTATGGTCTTAGCAATAATCTAAATTTTAAATGATTATAAAGGAGGTGATGGGAATGAAAAAAATGATATTTTTACCTTGATTTGGGCCCATTATCAAGATTACATTATAGAACAGGAAACAGAATTATTAAAAATTTTATTTATAATACTCTAAAGCTATAAAGGGCAATTTATTATATTTAAAAAAAATGTGCTATTCGCTAAGTAATCTAAGAACCATCGATTGATTCACGTTAAAATAAGCGGCAAAATAGAATTTAATTAATTTTTATTATATGTATAATAAAGAAAATAAGCACGTCTAGCGGGGACGGAAAACATTATTGCTACCCTCATTTCACGTGCGCCGTCGACACCGAAAACATACGAAGGGTCTTCAACGACTGTCGTGACATCATCCAACGAATGCATTTAAGACAATACGAACTCTTGTGAAATTATTTTCAAAATGGCTTCCTCACAATACCACACCCCTTAAATTAAGGGCGTACAAGTTATTCATCTCAATCACCCAATACCTCCTCTTCAAAACTACATGCCTAAAAAATTCCTTTTGATTTAAGACATAAATTTGGACAATGTCAAATTATTTTTTAAAAAATAGGCCTGCCAATCACAAATATTTCTAACTAATAGGAAAATATATTTCTAAAAAGATACATTAAGGATACGTTATAACCATAACTTTTCTCGTAACTTAAATGTAAAGCAGTGATGAGATTCTCGTTAGCATTTTAGCTTAAAAAGATTTGTTATTTTTCCAAATTATTGCGCTTTATTTTTGTACCAAGTTGCCCCCGTTTGCACATAACTTTCTTTAAATTTTGACAAACTTTCTTGTCCATAAAATTGAAATATAGATTCATGAATCTTCCTTACCATAAATGTATATTTTCTTGCCTATAGTTTTTGAATGTATATTATATAAAAAAATTTATTTTTAAAAGTATTAGCATTTTATGGAGCTGTTTATATTACCGCTTTTATTTTTCTTTTTTGAAAATAAAAATTTTGAAAAAAACAACATTTTAATGTAATCGCGACAACCTATCCCTTAAAACTATTCAAAAAAAAAATTTTTTTTTTGTGAAATACATTTGATAAATAATATTATAATATGCAACCCTTAGACCTATTCCGACAGTAATTAGACTTCTTTTATTTTGTTAATTATTTATATCTAAAATGTGATGGATGGATGATATTCAGTCAATCCCATTCTTTATTAATTTGCCCATTCTACAAATCATGTCAATTATTTTCATTAATATACTCTCCCCCCCCCCTTTGTTAAGCCTTTTTTTAAAAAAATATTCTTATAATATAATATTTATTATTGTTTTTTTCCTCATATAAATGGCGCTTACCATTAAAAAGATGTTATTTTTCCTCCTCCCAACAAATATGATCGATATTATACACATCCTTTTTTAAAAAAAAAATTATAATTTATTTAAAACGAAAATTAATTTTCAGTATTTTGACTTAATCAATGCCCTTTTTAAAAAATTACGATTTTTTTTAAAGGTAATTTGAGTTAACGTTTTGCGAACCTTATTATCAATTTTTGGCAAATTTTACGAGGGGTGGGGGGAGGGTAGGGCGTTATTGATTAAGTTAAAATGCGATATATATTATTATATGAATATCATTCTGTAAATATTAATAAAAATCATCGACAGAAAAAAAGAATAATAATTAATTCATTCATATAATAAAATAAATAGTATTTCTAAACGCACAATTTTGAGATTTAAAATCTCTTATAAAGGGGCATATTATGTAATGATGGATGGCGTGGTGTTTAAATATTAAAATTGTTGAGATTGTGTAAGTGATATAAATAAAAATTTATATATATTAGTAGTCAACAACGTTTATCGTAGGAGGTTTTGCGAAAAGCGAATAAGGGCCCAAAAAAAACAAAGTACAAACAATATAAAGGGAAAAACTAAAATAAAAGAATTAAACAAAATAAAAAGGAAACAAAAGTAAAAACTATAATTTATATTGATTTGAACTGAAAAAAAATAAATATAAATCTTCTTTAAAATAGTGGTGGCCAAGACAGTTTTCTAATTCAATAAAAGTTAACCTTTCTGTTGTATTAAATAATCCATGTACATTTCAATTAATAAGTTCGTTAATAGTTGTATTAAAAATGAGTTAAGTCATATTTCAATTAGAAAAGTTATTAAGAGTTATATTTTAAGAATAAGTAATGAAACTGTGGGTACCGTACCGTATTAAATTAGTAAATTCCACGAAAAGCAGTTGTATATATGTATTGTCGGATTGTCACCTATATTAAAATCTTTTAACCCTACAGATAGTTAAGATCTTCATTTTGTAAGTGATAAATTTTTTATAAGCAAAAATATAGATATTAAAATTTGCAAAATACTGGGAAATACAATATAATATTTTTTGGGCTTTAGTAATATGGATATGCAGTTTAATTTGGGGTACAAGAATGAGAAAGGATCAGAGCGTAGAAATAAAGGCGCAGACTTAGACTACTGAGAATAGGGACGAAGATGTGTAAGGGTTTTCGATTCAGTAGTTCATTAAGGGGTGGACGGATAGTGGTGTAAGTAAATACGTATATAATTCTGCTACACAAAATTTTAATATTCAAACATTGAGAACGTATAGATGAGCCAAGTTAGAACTCTATTGCCTTTCGTTGTATATTAAGGATTCGAATTGTAACATTACTATCATTGGCTCTTTAGCATCTTGCGTATAAAATTATCGAAATCAACATTTTTAAGTGAGCCGATTGTACATCAAATTTTTTTCGCTATTGTATTCTCAAAATTTTTGTTTTACATAACAGTAATTGTTTATTATTGAAATAAAAGATATAATAAAATATTTTTTTATTTTATATAAAATTTATATAAAAATAAAGATGTTTAACTCATACCGCTTGGTTCACTACTTTTAAAAGAGTAGAAATAAAAACTATTAGCCTGAATTAATGATGATAGTTCAGTTCATTTAATTTTCACTCGGAGTCGCTAGGCGATTTAGTAGATAAACTTAGTTCTGAGTTCGAGTCGTAAACGTGATGTTTTGTTTTTACTGAGAAACTAGGTTTATACAAATAAACGAAGTTTTTGAATAAAAATTTAATATGGCTTGTCTTTCTACATTGTTAATTTTATTTATTTCTATATAACCGAAAATAAAAATTAATATTATTTTTTGAATAAAGGTGATAATGAACTACTCATCTTTGAGGTCAAGGGAAGTCACTAGCCTTTACAATCTCTAGGGGCAGAACATAATTTAAGTTTAAGAACTGAATTCTCAATTCGAATCAATTTTCACTCGATTTTTTCAACCCAAAACTCGGCTCCAGATGTCGTTTAAGTAGAATATATTTAGTAGATTAACAATACTTGTCTAAGCTATTTAAAATAAACAATAGCTAATTGGTCTTAGTCAAGCTACACTTATACTTTATAGTTTATAATATAATATATTAGCGTGAGTTCTAATCTAGGCCTTTATGAAAATAAAATATTTTTGAATAAAATTTTCATTGGTTGTGATTTATTTAATATGAATATTCAAAATGCATAACGATTATAATAATTGAGGAATTTTATTTCCAATTTCACATTTCCTGTCTTTCCACATTTGGCGAATAAAGTTGTCCTATGTTTAAAAATTAATTATATTAAAAAATTATTGATATATTTATCAGGTTCTGGTGAGTGTATAATATGCCAGATTCTGGTTTTACTATAAATAAAATATGAGATTCTGTAGATTATTAAACAATAAAAGTAGTATACCTGTCATTGAGTAGACCATATTTTTAACTTAGTGCTGTTTTTACATGCTTTCATTGGTAGCTTTACTAGTGGAGGGGGGGGGGGGCTCAAGTTCCAATTGAAAGAGCTCCCCTCAAAATTTACATTTTTTTATACCCTTATAAAAAAGGCAAGTTAGTTTTAAAAAAAGGTAATTTTAGATAATGTTAGATAAAAAAAGTGGTAACGTGAAAATAATTTTTGGAGCCCCGCAATAGCCAATGACACCTCTAACTTTCGTATATTTTGATTGACAACATAATTTGGTATTACTTGTCGGCAGAGTTGTTAAAGAATCTAGATACAAGTATCTAGATCCTGTATTTAGATATAAAAATGTGGTATCTATATCTAGATAAATTTTTGATTAAAATATCTGTATCTAGATATTATTTAGACGATGTATCTGTATCTAGATCCATTTAAAAAGTATCTTTTAACAACTCTGCTTGTCGGTCAATGTATTCTTAAATAAAAAATATGTTAATGAAAAATGATTTCCCCTACATATTTTTTTAGACGGTTAAAATGAAAAATAATTATGTATTTCTTAAGGTTATTTGCAGCGTCTATATGACAGGATTTTCACTGGATGCAAACCCCCTTCGAAAACCTTTACCTACTCCCCTAAAAAATCCCGCCACCTTCGGAGGCGATATTTCCCCATTATTATTTTCACCTTTTTAATTATAATGATACTCTTTTCAGAGAATTTATAAAGGATAACTTAAACTAATCTATCTCTACTTAATGATTATATCTTAAAGTAATATATATATATTAATTTAAAAAAATATATAATAATTAATATTTGTATATATATTTATATACATATATAAAAAAAAACATTTTAAAGAAATAAATAAATATAGTATTGGAGAATATGTTTGTGTCGGTGTTAAAAAAAAAATTTTAAAAAAAATATATTGAGGTTAGGTAGGATAATCTTGTGGGGAGAGACTGCCTATGAAGCTAATATAATTAGCCTTGTGTATTGCGATGGAGAGCCTTTGCCTTAAGAAGAAGCCCTCGCGGGGTTCACCAGTTAGTTGACGAATGTGGGAGCCGAGTTCCTTGAAAAAGGATAAGACATATTTCCCAAAAGTAGTAAGGGTAGTGGAAATAATGGGGATGAAAATATATTCTTGAGAGATTTCGGAATATTTCGCTATTTTGAGTGTCTCCTTTTTCTCGAGTATATTGACTATTTGATTTGATGGAGCGAGTGGATCAATACAAGAATAGTCCCAGATCAGGAATTGACCGCGCTTCCAAGGAATTTGCAAAATACCGTCAGGCCGTTTCCCATCAGATCTGAAAAGACCGGATAGTTCAAGAGTGGAGGGGATTTGAGCAGATCTAAGAGCTCTAAGAATGATCGAATTGCATTGATTATGTCTTACAATTCGACCTTTACATGAGCGACAATGAAGACTATGTCTTCCATTGCCCAAAACTGCGGAGCCGCAACCTGAACAAATGTGGGGTTGGGTAATAAGGCAATTTAAACGGATACCGATAGCATGTGTGAGCTCGTTTTTATTTAGTTGTAATTGCAGATTAATAGACGAATGGCCTCGAGAAACTCATGGCCTGAACCATTAAGCAAAGAAGAGAATAAGGGACGGTCTGATAATTGCATTCTGGAAAGGAGTGATTCAACGCAGAGTGCAATAATAGGCCTATCCCAGTCCTTTTGCTTATTAGATTCAGGAAGAGGGTGATCCGCAGAAATTCGTGTCCTCCATTCGATGATTGCATCATTAAAAGAAGAGTCGGGTTTTAAAGAATTGGGATTTATTATGTTTTAGTTAGTAGGCAACTGGATATAAAGGCCGTTAAGGCGAGATCAGATGGAGATCTGAGGCCCAGACCTCCCATCTTTGTGGGTAAAGAAGCTTGTGTACAAGCAATTTCATGGAATTTAAGATTTAGAATGTTTTCGATAAGGATTTAGATCCCATTATCATAAACTCCAAGTGGAATGGGGAATTTAAATATGGCAGTTGAGCGAAGTGCGTAAAGAATACGGGGAATATTGAAAAAATTTTTCACCAGGAAAAAGGCTTTATGAGAAGGAAGAAGGGAAAATAAATCTGCCATCTCTAACAAAGTATCCAAAGTGGACTGAAGAAAGAAAGAAATAGCAGAGTTACCACCAACAGGGGCTCCCAGATGATAGAGACCGTCAAGAGTCGTTAGTTTGAATTTGTTAGTATTAGGTTCGATTGTATTGATAGGAATAAATTCTGATTTCTCTGGATTAATGGAGAGTCCTATAGCTGATCCTGCCTCCTTGATGATGTTCACAGCTTTATTGACTTCAACATTGGATCCTCCAAGAATACCATCATCAATGTACCAGGAATGCAAGGATAATGAGCAGACCGAATTGATGGATTTAATGATGTCATTAATACCTAAACAAAAGAATAGGGAACCTAGGGGGTCTCCCTGCTGAATGCCCTCGACGGAAGGGATTTTAAAGGTATCAAACAGAAGAGTGGAGGGCTGTTGATAACACGAATAAAAAAACTTAGTGTAACTGGGAAAAAGATTACTTGAAGAACTCAAAAAGGAGTTCCGGGCGAGTGTGTTGTAAGCATTAGAGAAGTCAATTTTTATCAAGGATTCATTAGAAGGTAAATTTTCAAGATATAATCTGGACAAATGTACAACAGCTTCACAGCCACCAGGGATTCCTACACCAAGTTGGAAGGGACTTAGGAGACGTGAAGCATCATGCTTAATTCGAGATGATATCATCTTGGCTACTAATCGGCGAAAGGTAGAACCAATGGCAATGGGTCTGATATCATTATTAGGTTTTTGAAGTGCAATTAGCCTGGCACCAAAGAGGATAGGTGAAACGAAATTTGGAACCTCACTGTTTAAAATTTTGTTGCATAAGTTTGTTAATTTGGGGAGAACGGATGTTTGTGAGCATGTAGAGGGGGAAGTGATGTCCTGGAGAAAAATGGGGCGTATGCCATCGAGCCCATATATTTTGTGAATATAAAGGATTTATTTTTTAGATAATAAATTCAATTAAATCTTCCATTATTTACAATGAATTCATGTTTATAACTTTATGAGCTTGCTGAAATATCTATACCTTTTAAATGTAATTTAAAAGGATAGCAGAAAGTTTTATTTAGGAAACAATGTGTGTGATTGTTTGCAATATGTTTTATAATAGTTCTATAATAAAATTATTAATTTTTACAGCAATAAATTTTGTTCTATTTTATCTCAAAATTCAATAGATAACCCCCCCCCCCCCCCAATTTATCCTACCCCCATTAAATCCGCCTAACCCCTCCAAAAAATAGGATGCAAACTAATCCTACCCCCGCTCATGTAGACGATGGTTATTTGTATTATGCGTCATGCCTAATCATTATTTTTTTTCCTTTTTCTCAAAGATTCTAAAGCATATAAAATTACCTTAATAATCAAAAACTACCTTTTCTTATAGAATAAAAATATTAATAAAATCTATATTTGTTATACATCATTGACCATATGATTGTTTCAATGAGTGATAAATAAATTATAAGTGTCATGTCACTTTAAAATATAATAGCATAATATATTCTTTTTTGCTTTTTTTTAAAAAAAGTCTCTGAAATGTTATTGAAAATATAAGTGAAATATTAAAAAAAAATTTAAATAAAAATTCTAATCCAATACTCATTTTATCTTATTTACATCAAATGAATAAATCTGAAAGTGACAAACTTGATGAAATTAGAAAATTGATAAAACCCTATTCTGATTTTCCTAAAAAAGGGGTTCTCTTTAGGTAAAATGATTTATTATTTATGTATTTGCTATTATATTTTAAAATAAACATAATTTTTTAATATAGAGATATATTTCCTGTATTTCAAAATCCTAATGCTTTACATGATATGATTGAAATAATAGAAAATAAAATTTCAAAAAATTCTGAAAATATCGATATTATAGTTGGATTAGATGCTAGAGGATTTCTTATAGCTCCACTTTTAGCTTATCATTTAAGTTATTATTTTATCTTAAAACATTAAATTAAGCTTTGCATCAAAATTATTATTCATTTTTTCATAAATAAAGCAGAGACATGTAGGTCTGGCTTGGGTTCATTAGCCTGGCCTTATTTTACCAGAGCTGGGCCTAAGGCTTGGCTTAAAAAATTTAAAAAAAAATAAATGGGTAGACCACACTATATACTTTAAATAACCATTATTAGCTATAAAAATTAAAAATAAATATAACATATTTTTAAAAAATCCAGGCCAGGCCTGAAAATATTAAACCCAGATGATTATTTTAAAAAAATCTGGAGCAAGCTGTGCAAATAATACCTCCACAGGTCTCCAAAATAAAGTTTATGCTCTATGTAATTGTTAAACTTAACTTATTATTTTTATAATTTTAAGAACTCCCATTTGTACCTGTTAGAAAAAAAGGAAAACTACCTGGTGAAATAATAAGTTTTAGTTACAACTTGGAATATGGATCAGTAATAATATTATATTAATTTATTCTTTATTATCTTTCAAACCTTATAAGAATGTCTTTGAAATACAAAAAGGATCTATTTCTAAAGGAAAAAATGTTGCTGTTATTGATGATTTATTAGCCACGGGAGGTTTATTTTTTAATATTTTTAATTTAAAAAAAGATATATTTTATTAAAATGATATTTAAAAAACGATTTACAATAGGTAGCATGGATGCATCTTGCAATTTGGTTGAATCAGTTGGAGGAAATGTGGTATTATGCTTAGTCATCATGGAATTGATGGATTTAAAAGGTAGAGACAAATTAGGAAAAAGGAACTTCTATTCAATGTTACAATTTTGAAATTATTATTTTGTGTATTTATGAAAAGCAATAACCTTATTGTGAAGAAATCCTAATATGCACTGGGTTCTCTATAATTTTGTGATATTATTTAACAATTTGGTCATTATGATGCTGTTTTAATATTAATACATTTTTAAATGCAGCCAATATATAAAATATTTATAAATTGATTTGTAAGTTTTTTTTAAATATGACTTAAATAATCATGTTAAGCTTTTATATCGATAAATTTGATGCTATCATTTTAAATCTCATTCAAACAATGCTTATTTGTAAATAGTTTAACTAGAGATGTGTTCATATTTTTCTGCCAGAGGGGGGGGGTGACTTTTCTAGCTCCCTCATCTTTATATCAAATAACATACTTTTATAAATGATGATATTGGTTTAAGTAACTACTGATTCCTTTATTTTTGGATTATTTTTTTTGCCTGTTTTTATAAAGATAGTATTTATAATTTAATCAATTGAGTTTTAAAATTAGTCAATATAATATTTGCTGCATCTAAGCAATGGAAATTTTTATCTTTTCAAAATTTTTATTTCTACTTTTATAATAATTGTTTTAATTTAATTTTATTGTATTAATTTTTTTTAAAGTTAAATTTTTAATTTGGTTACGATTTCATATGAATATAATTTTTTTTCAAAACAAAATTTAAAGTAAATTATTTAATTAATATTATTGGAAAAGAATAAACTATGAATCTAAATTAACTATGGTCTATTTTTTTCTTAACGGGTCTAAAAAATTATTTTTTTGAAGTTAATAGTATGATGGAGAAAAAGACTAATATTTTAAACATAATTTTTAATTATATTATATCTGGAATTATAATTAAATTTATTTAAAAAGCCTTATCAATGTATTTTTTTTCCATAAATACATTTATGAGGAAAAGGCTAACATCTTTAACCTAATTTCAAATTTTATTATATCATTGAGCTCAGAATTTAACTGCAAATCGAAAAATACTTAGTAGATGCATTATTTTTTGTTTTTGGTTAGAATTTTTTTTTTTATTGTAAATATGAAAAGGCTAACGTTTTAAACATAATTTAAAATTTTATTTTATTATTTAACTCAAAATTAATAGAATCTTAAAATGTTTCTACGTATTTTAGATAGTTTTATACATTCCTCTAATTTGTTCTTTAAAGGCCAGAAATAACTCATAATTAGATAATTTTACCTTATTTCTATTTATAAATTGTCTTCTTTTATCTGTAACTTAAGGCATATGAATCAGGATGTGATGGTTATTTTACGCCGCTTTGGTAAGCCTTCATTATTCATTTCTTTCACCTGCAACCCTAAATGGGATGAAATTATGCGCGAATTATTTCTTCTTCAGACTCGAAACGACAGCTCATAATTAGTTTGTTGCTTTTTCGTCAAAAAATAAAGTGCCTTAAAAGGGATTTGCTAAAAATTTTAACAGATACACAAAAAAATAATTAATCATCATTTTTTTAAAAAAATAACATATATTTCAGAGTTGTTAAAGTAATTCTACAAGTAGCGCGCTATCTTTTTTGGTAGCTGTGGCTAATAAAGCGTCACTTTTTTTCTAATTATTTATTTTTTTAGAGCGCTCTTTTTTTGGCGCTACTTGGCTGTTTTTTTTAAATTTAATGAATGTATATATAAACATGAAAATTTAAATAAAATATCATAATTAGTAATGTCAAGGAAGGGCGATTTAAACATGAGTCGGTTGGTGAGTGAAAAATAATGAATATATTAGGAATGACTAATGATAATTAACAAAATCGATAATATGGTGTATGATATTAACAAGTAAATAAATAAAAGAAAAAGAAGATTGGCGTTAGCGATAATAAATAATAATAATAAAGTTTGCAAATAAATTATTGTTCAAGGAGGATATGAAAAACCTTGAAATTAATGTAAAAGAAGACTTTTTGTTTTATTTATATGATTTTTATTACAATATTATTGATTAATAAACGGTAAAATAAACATTTGTATACATAAGAATAATATAAGAAATAAGAGCTTGAAAGAAAAAATAAAAGTAAGTTACAGATTGTAATTTTTATAAATTCTGAAATTTATATTTTCAATAAGGATATCCAAATAGATGTAAGGAGTCAGACAATTATCATATTAATGAAATAACCATAATACAAATTTTCCATTTACAACAAAATTGGAAAATATTTTCAAATTAATGGAAAAACAAAAGGTGGCTACAAATTTATTTGTTCAAACTGTAAAAAAATATATATCCTCAATTATAGCTATAACCTCAATAAACACTTAGTGGTGATTGTCATTTTTAAATTCAAATAGTATTTTTATAATGTTCATGTCAACACTTTTAAAGAGATAGAAAGACATCTTAATAATTTTGTTATAGGGGAGACTACATTCAAAAAGACCAATTCAATCCAAGCTAAATTGTTTTTAATATTGCACATGCCAATATTTTTCAGAAACTGGCTAAGTTATTGTCAATTTTATAATTGATACAGCTCAGCCAATGTCTTTGGTCCATCATTTATCATGATGAATAAAACTTTATCCCCTGGTACAACATTTTTGTGGCCAGACCAGACACTAATCAGACAAAGATGCCTTGGTTAGAACAATAAAAACGACTTCCATTTATTATTTTTTTGAAATAAATGATACTAATATAATAGAAAATCCCGAAGACTTGTTTTTTAAATCTAAAACTGAGTATTTTTGTTAATTTTTCTTATACTAAAAATATGTATATAAAATTAAATACTGTCTTGGGCTCAAGTGCTAGTGTTGAGAGATTGTTTAATAAGGCGAAACTTATATTTTCTGATCGCAGCTCTAGACTTGGGGATGTTATTATAGAAAAGATTTTATTATAAAAATGCAACAAAATGAATATTATCATAAATAGTTATTTTTATTACATAAATTATAGTTCTTTTACATTCATTTTTTTATAATCAAAACTAACTATATTTAAATATTTATAAAAATTTTGTTTGATGGGTAGTGATCGGTAAAGCGCTACTTTTGTTTGATGGGTAGTAAAACAGGTAGCGCGCTACTTTTTTTGGCAAAAGCGATATCGATATCTCGCTACTTTTAAGAGTTGGATCAATAAATTTATATGGATTGACAAGAATAATATATTTCTTAAAAAATATATAAATAAATTGCAAATAAGTTTCATTAATATTGAATGGCATTTTTGTAATTTAAATAGCATTTTTTATTTCTTAACAAAAAGATACGGCCCTTATCAAATTCTTTGATAAATAATTTCGGAAAGGCAAGATATACACTAAATTTCTCTAAAAACAACAATAGGCCAATAGAATAAATAACAATATATTTTCTAGATATAATTTTAATTGATCATAGTACAAAAAAGTATAAGAATTTTCTTTTTATATATAAAAACGTGAATAATATAAATATATTGAATACATATTAAAAAGGACTAGAAATTAACATCAATTTTTTTACAGGATAAATATTATTTTAATTTCAAGGATAACAAATAATGAAGCAAACATTAATCATTCAGCATTATAAAAAATCAATTTTGTCATTAGAATTGAACTTAATTTTGTGGGTTATCTCCAATAAAACGAGTTAGGATTTGTTATTTCTTATAAAAATATTTGGACAAACCTGATTTTGTTATTATTTGTTATTAAAAGGTGCGTCAAGGGTTTCCCGGTTTCACTTATTACGTATTCACGCGTTTTTTATACATACTAGAAGCTAACCCGTAAAAGATTTAACTTTCATTTAATAATATTATATAAGAAATATAACAATAACCGGTCCTGGGAAAAATTTTTCAAAATTATTATGAGTTGGGATATTAGATCAAAATTAATATGGTCTTGGACCTGTCTTGTGGAAATTTTTTACAAATTATTATGAGCTGGGCTTGGGAAATGTTGAGAAAAATATTTCAAAACTATTATGGGTTGGGCTGGGTTTGGGAAATATTTTTCATAATTATTTATGTCTTGGACGCTTGGAAATTTTTAATATATAATATGGGCCAGATATTGACCTACAAAAATTTTTCAGGCCTGGGTCAGATCTGATCAAAAAGTTATTAAAAAGTATTATCCAACCCAACATGTTCTTCGCCGAATTGGTTAACATTTCCTACCCATTCATTTGCATTGAAACATATGAGTTGATTTATCTATCCAATTTTCAAATTTTTTTATAAAATGTGGATTTTCATAAACTCACTAAATAAAAGTAGGGTATAATTTATAACCATATATTTATTCTTAATTAATTCATAGATAAATATCCTCTTTTAATTTCTCAAGAATACTCAATTGGAAGAAAAAATTGTAATATTATTATTTTAGATGATGCATCCATCTCTCGAAAACACGCAATATTATATATTAAAAAAGTATTGATTAAAAATATATTTATTATTATTTAATGCTAACTATTATATATTTTAGTTAAAATGAAATGAAATGTGGAATTTATGTTTAAACGGGCAGAATTCTAATAGAATAATTCTTTAATTTTTTTTTCAATTTAATATAAATTCAAAACTTTTGTATAAAAATAAAATTCTTTTATTTAATTAAAATTAAATCCAAAAACTTTCATATAAAAATATAATTCTTTTATCTACTTTACAATCAAAAATCAAAAACTTTTTAATTAAAATCATCATCCCTTGTTTTTCTTTTTCCTTCAAACATAATAATAAAAAAAAACATTATTCATTTTAAAAAATATACAACACTCTCCAACATAAATCATCTCTATCATATACTCATAATTACAACACTAATTACTTTATTTGTATATATAGAGCATTTATTATATATAGAGCATTTATTATATATAGAGCATTTATTATATATATACAATTTAACATGAAACTTCTCTCTTAAGGATATAACTGATGGCTCTGCAATATTTACCTTGCAAGACTTTTCTAAATATGGGACATTTATAAATGGAAAGCCTATAAATAAAAACAACATAGATGGAAATCAAATTAGGATTTATTTGGAGGATATCATAACATTTGGGATTCAAAACTGCAAATTTCAGTATAGTTTTCTAAAAAAAATTATTTTATAAAATATGAGCTAATATGAAATATCTATCATTTTATAGTTTTCATTCTGAAAATGATTGTTTTACAACATCACTGATAAATGATGTCCAAGAAAAATCAGAGATTGTGGATTTGGCTTCAAAACTAAATTACAATATGTATGATAATTGGTGGCAATATGAAAAAAATCTGGATCATACTCACATCCAAAATTGTGATTTTCTACTTATGAACACTTTGAATATGACACCCAAAGTATCTAATTAATTTTTGTTAAATAATTTTACTATTTTATTCTTACATCATAATCATTTATAATGGTTGTAACATCTGACACCATTATGTATAGAACATCAATTGTCAGTCCAATTATATATCCCATTTTTAGGATGAGACACCTCTAACAGGTATAGGCCCAGAGATGTATAGTCTAGAGTTTGCTAGAACATGAGGAGGGGGCTTTAAATTTGTTTAAAGTATAAGATATTTATCAGAGACCTGTAGAGGTAAGGTTGCTTTTGGCCTGGCTAGGATTTTTTTTAAATAAATTTTTTGGCCTTGGCCCTATTTTTAATTTTTATAGCTAATAGTGGTGATTTAAAATATTTGGTTTTAAAATATATGGCTCAGCCTGGGTATTTTATTTTTTAAAAAAAATTAGGCCCAACATGGTTATATTTAAAAAAATGAAAATACAGCCCAGCCTGTGTACCTAGGCCAAGCCTGCAGGTCTCTGATATTTATTATATATTTTGTAAAAATAAAATTTTTGGGATGCTTGGACACCCCAGTAGACATTCCTATATATTAGACCCATTCCAAATGGATCTAACAAACATCTACTTCTGTCACTATCCTAATATTTTTGTAATTTAGTATATTTCATTTATATCTATTTGAATTATCAAACTAAAAACTTCAATTGAGAATTTATATTTTACCACCTAGCGACATTTTATCAAGACTACACTTTGTCACTCCTTCATATGATAACGCGACACTTTATAACGCGATTTATTTACTTGTTTATTTTTCAAAAATAAAATTTTTTTTTTTTTCTAAATTTTTTATTTAAATTTAAAAATAAAATATATATATAATATTTATCATTTAAAATATCATTTATATGATGACAAATAAAAAAATTTGATTAAAAGTTTAATAAAATGTAAATATGAAAAATCAGCGAATAGATATGCAATTGGATCTACATATTTAGACATTCTTTGGGTTCGCCAAAGATATAAGAGAGTTTTCACTAAAGTTTTTAGGAAAAATAGCTTAAATGCTATCTTTACCTGAGTTTAAGTGGCAAAAGGTAAAATTCTAAGTTACGACGACCGTGATTGATAAGAAATGTTGATTTTATTTAGCGAATGAGTCAAGGATGATAAACGTAAACATTTTATATATTTTATTAGATATAATTCAAAATTTAGGAGCTAAAACAATTATCACCAGCCGAATTTTCGAGGAAGTTATTGGTGGATTTTTGAACTGGCACCGATTGATGCTATTTCCATCTAAAATATACCACGAATATTATATATTTGGGACTAAAAGAAGTCTATGAGCTTAATGAAGACTTGCGATTGTATAGCAGATCATATGTCCTAGTAATAATGCAGTTGAAATATTGACAGAAATATTTGAAGAAATGAATGGCTCCTCTGAGCTTATTTCCGATTGAGAAGAACTATCCCAACACAAGTCCTAATAAAATTATATTTAGCAGGTTATATGTCCTAAGGTGGATGCAGTTGAAACTTATTTACATTTTATAGATTTTAATCATATTTTTTATTTTATTTTTCTCATATAGCCTTTGATATATTGCTATTTTAGATAATTATATTTTATATATATTTTTTTAATATTTTTAATTTTTGAACAGAATAAAAATAAATAACATAAAAAATTTTACAATTAGTATTTAGAAGAAAAAATTTTTTAAATATCGAAATCAAAACCAAAAAGTCAAAAAATTAGATATCATAAAAACTTAACTTTTCAAATAAATAAAATTCAGCCATCAAATAAATCATAATAAAGTGTCGCGTAATCAAATAATGAGTGAGAAAGTATCGTTGTTATAAAATGACGTCGAATGTATCGTGGTAAAGTGTCGCTTCATACCAAACCTATTACATATTAAGATTAGGCAAATTTTTAATTGAATTAATTTTGTTATCATTTATATCTGTTAGCAGTGACTGTCTCTAGATTTTTGTTCTAGTGGATCAAACATCATTTAACCGAATCACCGAAAATTAGTCCCCGAATAAAAAATTTAATTAGTGAGGGTTTTTTTCCGGGGAATTATCTCCTTCCATTTAGGCACCCACTATGTTTCCAGAGGGCATTGCACCCCTCCTTCTATATTCTACTCTTGTGACTTTACCCGGCTGTCGGCCATGTCTATATTCATATATTTATATCTACTTATATTAATTACATTATGTAATTGCATTTGGTCCAAAATATTGGATTGTTTACATTTTTCCTAAAACAATATGGCATTGCTTATTAATGTTTAAATTTAGAATATGGTTTCTGAACTGAAATAATGGAAATTTAGTTTAATTTACTTACAATATACTAATTTTCGTGATTAACTAATTTATCAAGTTTTTATTACCTCTAATTAATATCTTTTTTAATACACCGTCCCCTGGTTATAATTGGGTAAAGGTTAATCGGATAATTTGAACCAATCTACACACACATGCAAATCAACTAAGCGTTAAGGCGCGGATTAATTTAATTCTTTTTCCAAGTTGTTAAAAAAAAAATCCCGATATTGAGATGATTGTTTTTAAACTTAAAAAAAAATACATTTAACCGTTTTCCTTAGTCAGCAAAAAATTGGCTCAAATAACGCGATGACCCAGCTATAATCACGTGCTATATAAAATATTTGTACCATTAGTTAACGTTCTTCTTAATTTAATTGTTTAAACTTATTATATATAAAAGAATGATCATCAGGGCCCCAAATCACTGGCAACTTATCCAACTCTACATGAAATAAACAATATAAAATTCAACACAATATTATTTTCACTATATAAGAATTATTACAGCACAATTTAATGAATACATTCACGTAAGAAGTTATAAATATTCATCTTATTTTATTTTTCTGATTTAATAACTCATGCAAAAATGCAAAAATTTTCTATCGCTGAATCTATCCCGAGTTATGGTAGAAAAAGAAATGTTTTTAAAAAATTGAACAATCTATTCAAAAAAAAATATATATCGCGACGAAAAAATTTTCGACCTTAAGACCCCGCTATCCCAGATTTATCTTCTCTTGGACGCCCATTTACCAAAAATAAGATGTTATAAGATAAAATATGAACAAATATAAAATGTTTATGGCACATTTTAATTTTAGAAACTTTGAAACTTTCACTTGTAATATTTTTTTTGAATGACTGGACCCATTTTTAGAGTTGTCTATTATAGGTGGGAGAGGTACCAAGGACGGATGGGCCTGAAAGAATTGCATCTATCCCTGACTAGTGTTGTTAATTAAAAACGGCTAAGTCAATATGTTAGCCAGAAAAATATTGTCTAAGCCTCGAGATTTCATTAGTAGATGTTCAAACCTTTGTGCCACTTAAGAGCAAAATCTTAAGGTTTGCATAATATTTTTCCAAATAAAGTATTGAGTTAGCCTTTTAACAACATTATCCCCGACAGACATTTGATCATCTTAATTGCAATTGCAACCAAAAAAAGGAACAATGCATTTATGTCTTTATTATAATCTTAGATGGATCTATAAGAGGCTTTAATTGTTAAAAGGAATTTATAGAAGTATAATACATCTACTTCTCTAATTGAGAAGGGTAAGGGGGGGGGGGTGATTCATGCAAAAGATAAAAACAGTAGCGCTGTATATGATATACATTGGAATAAGTAAACGATAATTGCATTTTTATTTGCATTGCATAAAATTTATTTTAAAATTACTGTTACTCAACAAAGGTTCTGTCTGCCCTGATGTGTGGCAAGCCTATAGTAAACTCTAATTATTTGAAAAGGATCCTGAAGATATGCCAAGATTTTATATCGACCACAGACGAAAACGAAAAATTCGATTTCAAAAAACCGAACACTAAAGAGTTTTTTTTAATACATGATCACTAATTTAATTAAACACTGCGCTTTATTATTTTGTCGCTTGCATGTTATATTGTTCCCTCTCCACTTTCTTTCTTTCAAAAATGAGTTAGAATTTTTTTTTAAAGATTTAATTTCCTATCCAAAAGTGGAGTTAAGATGACCGTGTGACCTCCGTAAAATAGGCCATTTGGAACGGGACATCGAGAAAGTGATCGATTTTATATATTAAATTTACGAGCCTCATAAAAGAAATATTTATTAAAAAATATTGTTTAAATCGTGACCTTTGCATTAAATTATCATATAGGTAACCTGTTCGAGTAATAGCAGTGTTCCAATTTTACGCGGGTAGGGTGTTTGAGACAGACATAGGTCTCAATTTAAGCATTTCTGATACCACTGTGTTCCCCAATCTTTTTTTGGCGGAGGTCTTATGAATAGGATAGTACCCTGCTGCATGGGCCGTTTCAAGCCCTACCCTACCCTCTAAATATGAAAAATATCTTCAATTATCATTTTGTTTCATCGATATGTCAATCAGAAATAATGCCATTTTTTATCAAACATATTTTATTTATCATTTGTAATTTTCATTTCTCAAATTAACAATTTTCTGTAATTGTGACTAGTTAAAACTCTGTTACTTGCATAAATCATATTATATCAGGTTAAAAAAAAATTATATTATACAGCCAACATTAAATCTAGAATATTAATCTTTTATAATAGTTATAAAATATATTCTTAAAATTTTTGTTTTATCTAAGATCTCTTCAATTAAGTAGTCTCAGATTTTTATATTTATAAAATTGTTCAAAAAATGGATCTAAATTTAAAAATAATTTTTGAAAGAGATTAGAACTCAAGAATTTTAGACCAAAGAAAATACAAAAGATAATATTTAATGACATGGTAAAAAATTTTAAAATATTCTTAATCTGGTTAGGGTCAGGCTGTAACCAAAAATTTGGGCTTGTGCTTGGGTCGGTCTTGGACACAAATTTTTTTAAAATTCGAGCTCGGGCTGCGATTAAATCACTTTGCAGGGATCTGTGAAAAGGCCCAGGGTTTACTATGAGCTGTACCCCATACATATTTTTTTATGATCATATGCCTTTCCTGTCATCAACCTCTCTTCTCAGACGACATTCAGAGTGGGGTCATTTCTTCACCACGTTCAGGCAAGATTTTTGAGGAAAAAATATTATAGAGATAACACACATAAAAGGAATATCAAAATTTAGGTTATTCCCTATTTCAAATTTTTATCATTTGCTTTGAAAAATAACCCTACAGCCCCCCCCTCCCCCAACATAACATTAGCTTTTTATCCAGAAATTTGCACGGCCCTAAACTGGTGATGCAAACCCAGGCAAAATTTTAAATTTTGTAATCTTATAATTATTTTAAATTGCATTATTTATTTTTTTCCCCTAAATTTTTGTATACAAATGTTTTAAAGAACCGGACCTGATAATAATACTAAAAAGTCTTAACACATCGGAAAGGACCAGACTGTTGCAGATCTCTAACTAATTTTTAATTAATTAACCAATTTATTTATTCTATAATATATTATTTTGCCCAAAGCTATATGCCGGAAATAACGGATTCCTCACTGCTAAAACCTGAATATAATTTCGGTCCTGACCCATCGAGAGTTAGCTTATTCAGCAACAAGATATTCATCTTTTGTGATAAATTACAAGTTTATCCAATCTTTTATTTATAATTATTTTTTAAAATTGCTTAAACTTTTTTAAAATAATAATAAAAAGTTTTGCAAATACGACCCGATTATACGAAGTGGCAGTGGTGAATGTCAATATGTTGATTCCTTATCTCAATATCAACGGAATATCACATTAAAGGCTACCCATCAACAATTATTGCTCATAATGATGACTTCAGATAACATTCAAGAATGGGTCAACGAGATTTACCAAGACTGGCAAATGTATTCTATATCTCCCTTTGCAAATTTGTCACCTTTTGTAAATATCCTTTTAAATCCAACACCCCCCCCCCCCCTTCTATCTCTAATGAATACAATATATCATTCTATAAACCATGTTTGTTTTTTGTTTTTTTTTAAAGTATGTTAATATTTTTTTTATAATAATAATAACCACAATAGATATTTTTGAGAAGAAAAGGTTAATTTTTCTAAAAACAAAGATATTATTTTTTTTAAATGTAATCCGACATATTTGGGTTTGAGTTAACAACTAAGCCTAAATTTATATGTTATTAATAAATATTTACAGAAACTGATGTAATTACTTTTATTTATTTATATATTAAAACAAGTCAAGGCAAACGACTCATTCCAGAATCTGAAATATGTTGCGCTATTCTAGAAAATTCATTAATTAACTATTGTAATTCAGGTTTAAACTACGATTTGCTTGTTAAAATAAAAAAAAGAAAACGAATTACATCATATTAGACATCTGCAAAATTAGGCTCGGCCCGAACCCGGCCCGGCACTTTTTTGAAAAAAATCGGGTTCGGGCTGGGTCGGGCCTAATATTTTTTTTAAAAAATCGGGCCGAGTCTGGTCTGTCCTCGAAATTTTAACTAGATGCCACAGGGCATATATATTTTATTTAAGGTACAATAAGTTAAAAAAAAATTAGTTTTTATATTTAAATAAATTCGGGCCGGGTCGGCAAAACTTTTTTAAAAAAACTACAGGCCGGTCCTGGTTTGAAAAATTAGGCCCAGTGCTGATCACTAATTCATACAAATAAGTTTAACATTTAAATTTTTAGATGCAAATACGAATGCCAACCTGACTGGATACCCAATTGAACCCTCGTTAGCTAGTAGTATCAAAAATATTGAAAGTGACAACGATAACAATAGGAATACGCGTGCAAGTGAAAAAACAAAATTAGACCCTACTATCAAGAGGTTATTTTTATTTTGCAATTTTATAAATTGGCATACTTTTTATTTTAATTAGAACCTTTTTTTCAAATTAATGAATATCTATAAAACTGCGTGTACCAATAATTTTCTAAAATATTCTTACTACGCCCAAAGTTCTTGAACATCCTCATCTATTACTCAAAGCACAATATCGTTGTTTTTAATTATTTTTTTTATGGGAAAAAAATAATGGTGTAGCCAATTTCTTACTACAACTAAGAGTTCTTACAACTCATTTTTAATAACAAAAAACTTTTTAACTCAGCTTAAAAGAGATTAGTTGATTTTTTTTATTTTTCACGAGGAGTAAAAAATTGTGTCGAGATGGGTTCAAATTGTAACAGAAATTACTTGACCTTGCAGTCATGAGTGTTATAAATGAGCCCTTTTATTTTCTATTTTAAATATGTGTCTTTTTGATTATCCAATTATAACGTTTCATTTTCTTTTCTTTTTATCTTAAATTTGAATTGTTTATTATTTTTTTATCCTTTCAAATAAAAGCCATTTTAAATTTACTTTTAAATTAATATAATAAACATTTATTGTACTATGTAACATATAACCATCCCTGAGTGCTCTTCTATCTCGAAGATGACCTTATTTTTTTCAAAACTCTTGGACCCATATCCCCTCCACACCAGCCCATATCCTTCTTTTTCAATTCTAACGCATCATTTATTTAAATAGTTATTTTTAGGCCATTACGATACAATACTTTATCATTTGAAAAGATTTAATGAAATAGATATCACAATTAACTTAATGGTAGAATCACTTTCACAGGGAGGAATTTGCCTTAGATAATGGGCGTAACACTACAGCCAAATATGTCAATTCGCTAATAGAAATATCGCAAATCGGTTAATTTAGCCCACTTCAAAACGGCTACCTAATTAATAAAAGATACGCCATCGGCCAAGGAGTTCGGCTAATTGTTCATTTGCATTACTATAGCGTTACATAATAAATAAATAAAATATAATTATAAATACTTTTAATGAATATAAATAAATAATAATGTTTATTGTTGCATAACGCTAACGGACGAATAGCCGAACTCCCGATGCTTAATTTTTAACAAATTAGTTTTAACCATATTTAGGCTAAGCCTAATAAGACTTTGGCGAAGTTTTTAGCCGATTACTCATAACTAATCGCATGCATTGAAAAAAACTAAATTGACCTCATCTCTATTTGCATTTCGGGAGTTAAATGGCTATATCTAACTCGCCACATTTTGAGACAGTTCATCAGCCAATGCCATATTATAAATATAAACCCGCGAACTATATCTTCGATTTTACCTGATTCATCTAACGCTTATTGCAATTATGATACTAATTATATTTTTTAACAATATTAACAAACTGACAGTAATAGACCAGTCTCACAACGAGAAATGATTACACAAAACCTATCGGACAAAATTCAAATTATCGTCCAGCCATGAATGATAATATCAATATCATAAAAATTTAACGGATTTATAATATCAGTTCTCGGACTCTTTTCCATTACCATAAATTTGTATAGATTAATATGGATTCACGAGCAGATCTATTTAAAAAAAACTTATATTCTAATATCGTTATTCAATCTTAGGTCTCAAAATCAAGCCAATTGGGAGTTTTAACATTTCTGCGCCCTATAATTATGAATCAAATTAGATTCTTTTAATTCTTAAATATAACAATATTTTACCAATTCAGGGAATGGGTTTATATCCAGCTTTTTTCGAACATCTTACATAAAAAAAATCCTACTCTATTCACTGATTCCTGATGAATTTCCTAGAAGAATAAAATATAGCAACATCCGATGCTCATTTAATTTTTCAAAAGAAAATGGCATTTTATTGTGAAAACGCCCCTTACTCTCAACCCTTCCCTTTAATAATATATCTTATAAATCCAAAAGTACTTTTATTCATAATGATAAAATAACAACTAATATAAAAATATATAAACAAATACCAATAACTATCACATTACAAAATCGGTCCCTGTAATCCAATATATCTTCTTTGTTCTTTCCCAGCTGGCATCTCCTGATCTCACCTTCTCTTTTCTTCCCCCAAGGAAAATTAATTGTTCATGTCATAAAAATGATTGACATTTAGTATACTATATTAAATTTATTTCTTCTTTTTTTAACTGCTACAACAAAATGCAATAATATTAATTCACGACCTGTCCCATTTTCTCTTAAAAAAAATTACTTAAAAAAATAGATATACAGAGAATGTCATAATATTCAATGGTATCAGTTACGTTACCAGTGAGAATCCTGAAATAGTCCTAAGTATCTTTTAGATTTTACCAAATGTTATGGGCTTGTTGTCTAATAAAATAAGCATTTCCATTATCTAATATAAACACTAAACCTATTCTTGTTGTATAGCTCCAAACTAGCCTCTAACGCTGTCCAATATCAGTCTTTAATCTGAACCACATAGTTTGATAAAAACTAAGAGAAACTTATTGCTACCTCGCGTTGTATCTTTTAGATTTTACCAAATTTAGTAGGTTTGGTGTCTAATAAAACTAGTTTTTCTCATCCAAAACACTTCCCTTGTCTCGCTGCATAGCTCCATGCTAACCCCTAATGTGGTCCTCGAACTTAATATCAGTCCTTAACCTGAAGCACATCTTTTGGTATCTAATAAAATAGTCTTACTTACAATCTAATATTTAGCTAATATTAACCCTCTTATTATTAATGTTATTTATTGCTCCTCATAAATTATACACACAATATTAATAAATTTTATATTAATGATTCATTGCAAATTTAAGATTCGGGTATTTTTTAATCTTCGTTGTGACTATACATTTCAATACAATAAATTTTGCTTTCACTACTCTTAAATTCTGTATGTATAGATTTTTCATAAGTTCGTGACAAAATCACGTGTACATTATAAACTTATATTCATTGAAGTAAATTAAAAAAAAAATTTTTAAATTCAAAAATCATCGAGAGATTCCGATATTTTTAAAAAAACGACCCAATTGGTTGTTAAACTACCCATCTTAAGTTAACCATAATACAGCGTAGCTATTATTTTTAACCAAAAATATTCTAATCAATCTTCAAGTTGAGGCTCAATTTAGAAGCTTAATTCAATTTTTTTTAGTCTAAAAGCTTGACTACGACACAATAGAGATGGTCAAAGTTAAGTAATTTAACAACACTACCCGATTCAAAAATAATATTATGAAAGTCTAAAGATTTTGCTCGTAAATGCCAGAAAGATTTGGACATCGATTTGCTGAATCTCGAGGGGCCATTTTTAAAAATCTAGCCAAATCGGACTATTTAACGACACTGGTGGCAACAGAGGGTTTATCATCCTCCCTCACCCTGACCCAATATTATTATTTTTTTACTCTACCAGAATTCGAAAAAAAAATATTCAAAGATTTTTTTTGAAGTAAAGAAAGAAAGAAAGAATTTGCCCAAATGTTTGGCCAAAAAATCTTAGAAAAATCATAAAATTGAAAATCTATTTAAAAGAAAGACTAATATGCCTAAAAAAATCACAAAATAGTTACTTATATAAAAGATTTTTTTTTACCAAAAAAAAATGATTTGGAAATTTAAGCAAATTTTGATCAAATATACTCAGCTCTTTACCCCTATTATTAGGGGTATTTTCTACCTCTTGAGTCACGTAATTGCCCATACCGACTTTATTACTGCAGTAATAACCTTACTACTACGAATACTTTTTCCGTAATTGTTTTCTTTATTTAAATTATTTTATTTACAAGATAGAAAATACATCATTATAAATGTATAAATAAACTTTTACACATGGCCTTAAGAGGTATCAACATAATTATATTCGAAATTTAATTTTTTTTTTTTAAAAAAATATAAAATAAATATAACATTTTAAAAATTATGCTAAATATTGTTAAATTATAACTTATATAGAATATAAATGAGCAAATAACCAGAATTTATATAAATTATATATAATCTAAAAAGCGATATATTATGGTGATATCGGATGGGGAAGGGATTGGATTTAAAACCTTTAAGAAATGATATATCGGGTTTACGTTTGGTGCTTAATACGACTGTTTTGAGGGATGACTTGTGAAATTCGAAGGGATCATATTTAATATTCCATTTCTTTATCTTATCTGGTTCCCTCTTTTGTTCAATGTTTATTTTAAATGGTACCATATGTTCCTTTATTATTAATATTTTTTTGATTAGGGTTTTCCTAATTCTTGTATTTCTCTCACCACTCTTCTCCATTCCTCATCGATGTCCCCCGAATTCGATATTGAGGATTCGTTAAAACGCGCATCAACGAATCCATCGTTGGTACCGATATTTATATCGGCAGAAGCTTTGGGTTGATTGACTTGTGAGGATAATTGAGTGATAAGATTAGGTAGAGTTCGTCTTTGTTTTCTTCGAGAAGAATAACTCCTTTCAAAAGGGCCTTAGAAATAAATTTTATGACATAATATATAATAAGTTATATTTAAATGAAAGACAGAGGTATCTTTGCACAGCCCGGCACGGATTTTTTAACCCGGCCCAGTCCGGGTTTAAATTTTCGGCCTGCGTACCATAGCAGGCCTTCAGGTCTCTGATCTAAATTCTATTCGGCTTATATAATTATTAATTACAGGTTTATATTTTTAACCAATGGCAAGGCATATATTCTTATTTTAAATTTAATTACTTCCATTGGCCATCGTATCTTGGATAACATTATTACGAGGTATCCTGTGCAGCTCGGGGATGGATGGCAGTAAGTATTTTGCCCCGTTTTGAGAATTTTGTTGGGCATTGCGATGGTCTGCTGAGCTTCGTCTGCGGGGCCAAGAATATTGTTCTTTATTATTATAGTTATTATTGTCGACATTTAAATAATCATTGAAATTGAAAACATTTGTTGGCGCATATTTTACGTGGCCATCGTCTACTTTTAGATTTATGTTTGGAGAAAAATTATGAAAATTGTTTGACAAGTATTCTGATTTACAATCCCAATTCGCTGCGTACATATTCCGATTATTATCGATTACGTTTTCTATACATGATGGCAGTTGTTGAGCGCCTATTTGTTTTCGCTTTTCGAGTGAGATTTCATCGAACTCATACCCTTCTTGATATTGGCAATCAATATTGCTCGCTACTTTTCGGTTATGCCCTTCCTTTTTCCTGTTGGTTTCCCCGTTGATGCTTCTCCCAGAAGATCTAGTCGAATAACATCCAGACGATAATCTTAATCTGCTATGCCCGAAATTTTCTGCTTCCATCATTTGGTTCGGGATAATCGGCTGATTTCGATACTTTTTGTCTCCTACGAAACTACTTTGCCACAAGCAAATATTACCTCGCGTCTTCGAAATCGTGTGACCTTGGTTTGCTTCTTCGTTTTCATCCCCATAATCGGGTGTGGTAGGTGGCTGTCTCAGTAACTTATTTGGAAGTGCAAAACCTGACATGGCCGAATTGTCACCTTTGGCAAGGTCCTCGAGTGCCTCCATAAGCGATTTCCTATTCTTGACTCTCTTCTTCCTCTTCTTCTTTTTTCCGCAATTCCTATCCCCACCGCCATTTTCATCGAGTTCGCTTCCGGTTCCATTAAAATTCCCGGTATGTTCCCCATTTAGAATTTTAGAATTTCTCCTTCTGGACGAATAAAAATCGTCTAAAATCACACTGGAATTTATCGAAGATGACATATTATTATAATCAACTCCCCACACTCCGCTACTCGTACTGGCAGTATAGCGGTAAGAATTATTATAACTGTCGTTTATGCTAAGGTTTATTTATTTTAATCATCAAAAATAAATATTAAAGAAATGTATAATTTATTAGTCAATGCGCTATTTAAAATAATATTTGGGAAAATTTAGCCTAACCCTGCACTCATATTTAGCGCAAATTCGTGGCGAAGTTGACAAAAACAGTATATGCTTCTAAATTGGCTCTAAGTGTGAATGCATTGTAACCTGCATCAATTTAAAATTTCAGCTAATCTAAAACCCAAAATTTTTTATGCATTTCATTTATTTAATATATATAATTCTTTAAGATTCATTTTAATAATTTCATAATACAAAAATTAATTCTTAATAATTATAAATAGCTTAGATTTCCATTTCATAATTTTTTAAATCATTCATAAAACATAAAAAAAATTTTTTAAAATAACCTCATGCTGTTTTCACTTTTTGTGTTCGATTCGATTGCTATTTGACTCGAGGAGTTATTTTTTGCCTCAACGTTATTTGATAATCGTCTGCTGTTAGTTATACGGGTAGTATCATCACCGGGTAGTTCGTAACAGTTAGCTTCTTCTCCATACTTATTATTCTTGTAAAATTTAATAATTGCTCGATCTTCATTAAGAAGTCTTTTATCTTTATTATCGGAACCTAAATCGTAATTCGACAAATTGGATTTACCTGAGATTTGAAGGATCAGCTTTGTAGAGCTAACGTATCTTTTCGGAATTTCAACAAATTCGCCTAATCCATTAACATCTAAAATGACCTCTTCATTTCTAACCTTCCGCTTATCGTCAATATCCTTGCTATAGGCTTGATGAACTATCGCAGATTCTGTTTCGTTCATTTCAAATACGGCGTTATCATTTCCTGTCCTGAAAACGTGATCTTTCTTATCAGACATCTTTCTGCCAATATTAGAGTTACCGGTGGGTAAATCGTTATTATTATTATTATTATACGAAGATTTATTTTTGCAACTCAACAACTCGATTCCACCACCATTTTTGGTCTTCCAGCCTCTTTTTTTGCCTAATACGCTTTCTTCTTTCGATTTTATCATTTCTTCCGCCAATTTTAATCGCTTATCACCTCCTTCATTACCACGATTGATTCTTCTTACATCCTCGGGGTAATTATGTTTCTTGTTGATCGCATCTCCATTTTGCATAATAATCACCTTGGTCACGGTATCGTTGCTATTACTCCGCTTATTCGATCTATCTCGTTTACATTTGCGTACGCACCAAACTGAGGTTAATATCATGAGCCCGAATATAACTAAACAGGTTCCTAATATAATTACCCAAAACAAATTCACCACGTATTTTTCTTTCTCAAAATTTATTTCGTCCATTTTTGATAGGGATGATTTGCTTAAAATATTATCATTCACGCGTCTCTCAGCATTTCCTATATTATTTAGTTGGCTTAAAGATGCCAAAGTTGCTGTCAAATACTCTCCTACTTTGGCGACACTCATATAAGTCGAATTACTTATCTTCAAATTCTCCTTCATTTTATTGATCCTATTTTTAGCTATAATTGAGGCCACTAATTGACTAAAACTCATTTTTGTTTTTTGTGGATCTTGGGATTGTGAAGCATTAGTAGACTGAAGCACCATTTTTCCTATCCTTGATTGATTACCTCCTATTTTTCCCTCTCTACTTTTTTTAATCTAAACGGTAATGGATATTCCTATAGAATATTAGATTATATTTTACCTATATTGATTTCATGATTTTTCATTATTTGTCCTAGGATAAGAAAATGTAACGAAGTTCGAATCAGATATAGAATTTAAATAATCCATTTTCACAACATTTATTCTTCCTGGAAATCTATATTTAATTTGTTTTTTTTATAAAAGATTTATAAACTACGAAACTTAAATTCGAAAACAAGGTATTTTAGTAATAAAATATATTAAATATTTGAACTAAATATACTAATAAATGATTGCCCATTTATCATCTTAGTGTCAATAAACAATATAATAAATTTAAAAAATAATAATAATAAAAAAAGGCTAATCTTATGAAATGATAACCTTCACTAAAAGAATTCCAAAAATTTTTGCCGATTTCAGCAAACACAAAAAAAAGTGTACTATTATAACATAAATATTTATATTTCTCCCCTCCCAACTAAAAATAAAATAAAATTAATTTACTGAAGAAGTTTTATAATAATCACCGAATTCCCCTACCCCCCTCATTTTATTTCTTGTAAAACATCCAGTTCCCCTTGAGAAGTTTGGCCTCCCTTTAAAAACTTCAATTTTGCGAATAGCGAAAAGAAAAACCCAAATTTTGGCGTTTTCTCCCCCCGTTTTCACGGGTCTGTCCTTAAAAATTATTTTAAAGATTATTTTTATAATAAAAAAAACAAACACTAAATTATTATACGTTTTTATTATTATTTATTCCTAACCTAATTTAATAGGTGTTTATTATTATTATTATTTAGGTGAGAAAAATGTAAAATTATTTTATATTTGTAATTAATCCTAAACTCATTACATTACAACATTCTAAAATATGTTTTATTTTTTTAAAATATGTAAAAGCGCAGATTAAGCAAGATATTATTCTGGTCACGGTTTAGACGCATAAAACTATGCCCTAGTAATGGATGGGTAGAAAATCTATTTTTACGGCACTAGAATCTGCGATTCCAAATATAAGACATTAATTAATTGGTTAATTTTTTCTAATCCAGTAATTTTTTTTAACCAATGGGGTATGCGGGCTCAGTTACATTCGTTAAATGATCTATCACGTGATCCCTTTTATACCGCGATCTTATGTCGAATAAAGAAACCTGCTAATCTACGATATTTCGCAAATAATAATATAACATGCGACCATATTTTTTTTTAATTAATCGAAATGTCAAATGATGAAACGAGAATAAAAACAATGTTTAATGGTAAATATTTGTATTTAATTTTTTTCTTCTTCTTCATATCTCATTTTTTTAAAAAAAAAAGATTTTATTTTAACGTTTTATTTTAATTTTTTTATTGATTTATATAAAGTATTCAGAGGTTAAGTTTCTACTTTTTTTTTGAATTTTTAAATGCTTTTTTTAAAAAAAAGAAAAATTTTAGTTGTTAACTAAAAAGTGTATCTAACTAACACTATTGAATGAGGAAAAGGAGGAAAAAGTTTTTACAGATTTTTAAATTTTATTTTATACTGTATAACTGGGGCCGCATTAAAAATTTGAATTGAACAATTAATACTTTATTAAGACGACCTCAATATTTAATATCCTCCATGTGACTCATTTTCAAGTGCCCCCAGGAAAATATATAATTCTATAAAAACAAATTTTTCTTTTTTAAAAAAAAATTTATTTGGCTGTTATTATTATATTTTTATAACATAACAGATAGGTTAACCAATGTTTAAAATCCTGTATTTTCTATTATAAAAATTTAACTTTAAAAACAATAGCAGCGTTTTTTTTATTTAATCATTTATACTGCTCTCTACCCCCCACCCTCACCTTCCGCCAGTGACGCCCAATAGGAAGTACTCGTGCTGGTTGGTAATCCACCTGAAGCTCTTCTATATCAAATCATATTTAAAAGAATATTTTAATTCCATCGATTTTCATGCCTCATTTTTGCCCCTCTCACGGTTACTCAAATCGCACTCTTTTTTCTCATCTATTTGGGTAGTGTTGTTAAACGGCTCGTTTTGAGCCGATTTTTTAAAACGGCGAACTCAATATTTTAGACAGAAAATTATGCCTAAGCCTCGAGAATTCGCGAATATATGTCCAAACCTTTGTTCCTTCTACAAACAAAATCTTCAATCTTGCGTAATACTATTCTGGATGTAATATTGATTTAGCTGTTTTTAAAAATCGGCTCAAAACGAGCCTGTTAACAACACTATATTTGGGGATTGGCGACGCTACGGCCTCGTAGGCATTTTTTATAGCAGCCTCGTCCCCATACTTCTATTTTCGGGCCTTAGGTCCGCTTTTGCTCGGTCTTCAACCGGGTTCCCTTAAATGGCTTCTTTGATTAACATGATTTTTATTACTTCTTATTTTTTGAAAATAAGTTCAAACTATTTACATTTTTAGTAAAAAAAAAGAATAGTATTATACGATATTCATATATTTTATTTTTAAAAAATGCACATCCTAAATTCATATTCTTTAATCTTTACCTATATAAAATAATATTCATTGCACATATATATTTTATATTAGATTTACCACGATATTGCACTATAAAATCAAATCATACATCACATGTTAAATATAAAAAAGATACATACTCAATATATTAAATCAATTAATTATAAATATAAAATTATTGCAGTTATAGAGAATAAAATTGCTGCACTTTTATAAAATCAGGCACCTATCATATTGTAAATAATATTAATAAGAATCTAATAAAAGAATTAAGAAAATAAATAATTTTTACGTTAATAAACCTCTCTTAAACCTTTGCGCAAATATACAGGGATATCTTCTAGTTCAATCTGCGCTAATAGTTCTCGTAAAACTGACATCATTAAAAACGTTTCTAATTTTTCTTGGTAAATATTAGCTCTCAGCTTATTTTTATAATTTACTAAATGCTTTCTCTTGATATCATCTTCCGTTTCATTCATAATTCGTTATAAAATTTAACACTCAATATATATGCCAATTGTGCCAGTTTTTCCAAGACCTTTTCAGAAATACCTTTACTATTTATTTCATCAAAATGTCTTGGATGCAAATATTGCACATTCAAGATAAGCTCTCAATTCGCAGAGAGCCGTTCTGACAAGCTGTTTCAAGCGACGTTACTGAGATATTATGCATTAAAATATAGTAAACGACACGAAAATTCTCAAGGAATGTGATATTTTATCAATAGAGATATCATTAAAAATAAATAAATGATAAGAGAAAATAATATGAACATAATAATATTTTTTTTCTAATCGGCCTCTATTTTGATATTTTCCTCTGATCGGCCTCAAAAATCCACATTTTCTCGAGGCCTCTTGGGCAAAATGCCCACCTGGTCCTATGGCCAGGCCGCCCCTGGGGATAAGAATTAATTATTTATAAATTCTCCGATATTTTTTAAGATAATAATAAATTACCCTGTCAATCACATTTTCATTGATATTTATTTATTTTAATAGCATTGTGTATTCTAAAAAAAATTGAAATTGGTGGTACGCAGGCCGTTAAATAATGCTTAACGCGATGGATTATGACGCGAGTTTGAATAAAAATAAAATTTAAATTGCTAGGCGTGACGGGCCTTTCAAAAATTTTTGCCGGGTGTGATTGATTGGGCGTGAGCATAAATTTATAATTATAATATATATTTTCTAATTTGATTTAGTTCTTTAAAAGAATAATTTTAAAATTATTTTTTCTTACTAAAATTCTTATCATTATTCAAATGCTAGGATAATCTGAGTGCAGATTCTCGTTCCGCAATAAATGAAGTTTATATGGAAACAAAAATTAGCAAAATTTTGTCAACTGAAGGATACAATAATAATTAAAACCTAAAAAAAAACAGGACAACATTTCTTTTAAAGGGAATATTTATTCTACTGCCACTACATAAGGTAGGTAGGCTTAACTTTAGATTCGAATTTCAAAAGTCGTAACTTTCTAATAGAAGAAGAAAAGGAGGATATATATAGAACAATTTTAAAAATGCGAAATGATATAAAATTAGGATATGCATAAGTCAATGCCAACTATCATTTATAACTTTTCTAATTCATCCTGCACACATAAAAAATCGCGTATTCTAAATGAAACATTTAAAAAATTTCTAGATGAATCCGATGAGGCATCAACATATACCGATAAAAGTTGTGAGGATAAACTTAAAGGATTTATCGCTCATAAAACAAATAACAATGACAATATTTTGAAGTTTTGGAAGCAGGAAACATTTCCTTTTTTTGAGAAAATTTGTAGTAAAATTTTTTCAGCCCCGTCAAGTTTGGTTTTTAGTGAAAGGTTTATTTCCTATAGCCAATCGCTTATTAGAGAAAAGGTGAACACAATTGAAATAAAAAAACAAAATTTTGATTTATTAATTGTAATTATTTTGTGTTATTAATATGGATTATGGAATTAGAGAAATAAATAGAATAAATTCAAAAAAGTGTAAAATTAATACCAATATTTTTGAAAAAATTTAAAAACACCGTGAATTTTTTGGCGTGACGGGTTCTTTCTTTCTTTCTTTCTTTCTTTCTTTCTTTCTTTCTTTCTTTCTTTCTTTCTTTCTTTATTGTCTTTCATGAACGGGCGGGTCGGGCCAAAATTTTTTTAGTAGTAAGCGTGAAAGGGCGTGAATTTTTTTTTATTACCACCATAAGTGCGCGGACCGCGAATAAAAGAATAGGCCCGCGCCCATCTCTAATTGAAATGACATTTTTTTAAAAAAAAACATGTGAAAAACAAGCAATTTTGCGTTCAAACAAAAAATATTTACTCTTTTGCAATTTGCCATTTGAAATAAAACGCGAAATGAAAACTCAATTTACTATTTGTAAATTATTTAATCGCTGAAAATTATTAGTATAAAAAAAATGCTTTATATGCCTTCTCAAAATTCTTTGAAAGATTTACTGACTATAGAATTATATAAATTCTTGGGAATAATCTCTAAATTCGGAAAAAGGTATTCAACAAGTTGATCCTTAGCTCCCATCCCGCTCTCATGAGAATGTTTCTAATGTTAGGTCTAAATCTAATTTAGATCTCAATCTTTACCCAGACGACATAACTTTATCTGGTTCAGGAATGTGTAGTAAAGGTATCGATTTCTCTAAAAATAATCAAAAACTTTAAGTATTGTAATAAACAGGGACCTGGAGTGAACCGTAACGAACCGTTAAACCATTATAAACCGTTATAAATATCTGAACCATAACCGTAACCGATCCGATATAATTATTTTTTGAAGGAGTAAAAAGAACCTTTATAAAAAAAAGGTTAAACCGGTTCAAACCGGTTCAGTTTTTATATTTTAAAAATGGAAATAATTTGAATATACAGAATTATATAAACTTGCTCTTAAAGTACTGGCGGTTCCCGCAACACAAGTTTCTATAAAAAGGGCCTTTTGGGGGCTAAAATTTGTGTTAGCATCACAACGAACAAAAAGGAATCCATTTATATTAGAAAATATATTATTTATACGTTCAAATAATATATTTAAAGATGTGTTATTTTGAAAAAATTTCTAACCGTAATGAACCTTTATAATTAGCTGAACCGAACCTTTATAAATTTTTTCTTAAGAACCGTAACCAAAACGTAACCATTATAATTTTTTACATACTGAACCGTTATAAATAACGGTTCGGGTCCCTGGTAATAAATATGAATAAAACAGAAATTATTTTTTTATAAATGGATCCTCTACGGAGAATTTTAATAGTTTTATTGTTATTGATTGTGAGTCAATCTCCTTATTAGGGCTCCCCTTTAAATAGTGCTATTCCTATGATAGCTAGCTTAGTGAAAGCAACATTTTGCATAACAATATTGGGATCCATACTGCGAAATATTCCAGACCATCATTCCTTGTATATGATAATAAAATCAATAGGGTTTACCGCAATTTTATCTCTCTCTAAGGACTCATTTTGGTTTTTAAACTTTTCCTTCCTATCATCTATAGATGTTAAATCAAAAATTTCCTAGAAGTAATCCTTAACATTTATTTCCCTGATTGGTCGGTCGATAGCCAACTTCCGACCAAACAAGGCGGCATGGGCTTTCTTTTTCTCAATTAGGTATCCTTCCTTGTATGGCCTTTCTTTCATCCCATCTTCAATGCCAGAAGATTTATGAAGAAAGCAATCTATTTACCTTCCATCCCACACTCCACGGCAGAAAGAGATTTACTTACTCTCTTCTGACCAACTTTTAAAAATTGATGGGTACCCTTCCATTGGAGGGACTTCCATTCTTAAATATTAGGAACAAAACCTCGGGGCATGAATAGTTAGAAGCTGTTCCAACTGCCTATTTTGGTCTGCTATATATAGATTAGGCTGAGACATATGTCTACCTAATAAATGTAAAGAGTGTGGGGAAAAAATCCTACCATCACGATAGGCATAATTTGGCTGCTTGTTTTCTAAATGGCGGTTCAAAAAAAAGGAAGACTAGAATACCTTATTAATATCTCTGGATTAAAGAAAATAATCATTTTATTTGGGATTTGACTTGAGTCTCCTAACCCCAAACATTGGAAAAGTATCACAACCTTCCAGATTTTCATTTCACCTCAATAATTATTTTTTTTACAATTGGGTCCTTAGGTCTACTAGGCTACAATTTGTTTTAAGATTTTAGGTAAAAAAAAATTTCATTTCTCGATTCAATAGGGATCTTCGGTCCCCTAGAATTCTTCAACCAAAACAGTTGTGTTCTGAGGCAACTATCTAAGTATTCTCGGAACTCAACAACGGACTCCTTTTTTTAAAATATATATTTTTATATGTTAGTTATTTTAATCAGTTTACTTTGAATATAAGAACGAATGATAATTTTTTTTTAAAAAAACGCGCTTTCCTAAGATTTGGGGGAAGATAAAAAAAAATTTGATAAATTTTTAAGGGGGTAATGTAACCCCCCCCCCCCCCCCCCCCATCATCCATCGCCGAATCCTTTAAACAATTGTAAAATTTGAGATATTACTTTAAGATTATTGTGTCATAACCACAACCCCCCTACCGTGATTGGACCAATGGGTATCTAGTTTATTAGATAGGCTTATATAACAGTCAATAAATGCTCTAAAAATACATTCTAAACTTTTTACGGTTATTGTGAAAATTACACAAACAGCGTTAAGTAGGGCTTTATTATTTTTTTTTGACAATATTCAAAATTATGATCCAATTTTCTAATTTTCAACTTAAATAAATAATTCGGTATTATTAGTTATAAGAAATTATAGAACCATTACTTTCCCTCGATATTGAGATTACTGAGGAATGCAATATTTTATACTTATAATCCGGAATAATAAAGCTTCCTCTTTTAAATATAACTTATAATTATTATCTATTTATAAACATAAATTTTTTAGTTTAATTTTTTTTACTTATTTTCTTGACGAATTAAGAATTATCTTCCAAAAAGTATTTTTAATTTTCTTAGAAAAATTGATATTCGCGACCACCTGTAGCTTTCTTAAATGTTATATTTCTTTGGCAAGGTTAAAAAAAATGGCGCTGTTACATAATTTAAAAAAAAATATTCTTTCTATAAGAAATTTTTTTTTACCTGTACAAAAATAAATTAATATTTAAAAGTAATAAAAATACTTTTTTTTAAAAAATAAAAAATAATACGAACAAAATAAAGGTAAAAGAAAATTTATTATAATAAATTTAATAAATTTTTTTTTATACCCTCTCTCCTTTTCCACCTTTTACCATGTGTTTTTATTTACCTTTTTTTTTAAAAAAAAATTTAGATAAATTATTTATTTAACAAATATATATATATATCTATCATTATTTATTATTCATGGACATTATATATAAATTTTTTTTAACAAATCAATTTATAATTATTATTTTTAAAAAAATCAAAAAAAATATCTAGTATAGTATAGTATAAAATTGGAGTAGGAAGAGTAATTCTAAGAAAGCTCCTTGGTAAGTATACTATCAATTGAATCTAATGTTGAGTTTGCTTTGAGAATAGTTCTGGCGACCCTCGGTTTTAAGAAGAAGCCTTCTCGTGCTCGCCAGAGAACTCTCAGATATTAGATCCCAAATATTTAAAGAAGGGATAGTAAGTTAGTTGGATATAATTGCTACGAAAACGTGATCTTCACCATTTTCATTTTTTCTAATTATAAAATGTAAATAATGAAATTTAATATCGTTAATGAGTGAGACTAGAAAATGTAATTTATGTTTTTTTATATTCATTCATTTATATAGCTTGGGAATAGAGATTTTTCATTCATTCTACGTTAACTCTTGATTAAATTGATTTTCACAGATTGGAATTATAGGAATATTGGGGAAAGTGGGTACACCCTTACCCCCATCTAAAAAAAATATTTATTCAATATTTTTATTTTTTTTTAAAGAGCTATCAAATTTGTATTACATTTTTATAAAAAAATAAATAAGATATATTTTATTTCTTATTACCCCTCGCGGCTACTATAAAATATTGTCTAAAAAAAAATTAATCAAAAGATGTAATTTTCACTTTTTTTAAAATTTTCAAATTTTATTATTGGGGGAGAAGGAGGGGTGTTAACATATAATAAATAAATTATCAACAATTAGTTATAAAAAAAAACAAAAACTAGCTTGTAAAAAAACAAATATCAAAGACATACCGAGGGCGAAATTTTGAACCTTTGGGCCCGGTCCGAGTCTTTTTTTTGAATTGAATATACAAGCCACAAATGAATATTAAATTATTAATTACACGATTTCCCTACTGATTAGTTTTTTTAAAAAAAATTGTCACGGCCTACCCTAATTTTTTCATTTTAAGCCCGACCTCGCTTTTGTAATTTTCTTAAATTTGTACGACTTGCAAACTAAAAAAAAATTAATAAATTCTTAATAAAACAAGGAATTTATATAATAACTTGCAAAATATTGTTTAAAATTAATCAAAATAAAAAAGTTTAAAAATTTGCTTTATTTTAAAATTTTAAATGATAGTTTTAAAGATTTTCAGAGAAAATAATAGACAACTCATTTGAATATTTTAAGATCATTTAATTATTTTTTTTCTTTTTTTTTGTTAAATTTGAGTCCCAAATGTAAAAAGACTATAATATTATTCGAATTAAAATAATATTTAATTTTTTATCAAATCAACCAAGGTTTCAACCCGACCCCCTTCAATTTTTCTTAAATTTTGTATACAGGTAGAATATACTATAACTAAGGAAAAAATGAAATTTTACCTTCCAACACTGTTTACCCGCTAAGAAATGGCCGTTTAAAGCGCGGAAAAATGGTACATTTTTGACAAAATGCACCTCATTTATTTTCAATAATCTCGAGAAATAATTATGTTAGAAAAATAATTTAAATTTTATTTTGTAGCTTAATAAAAGTTCTTAAAAATGACATAATAATAAATATGATAGACATTTGATTAATATCGAAAACCGGATGTGTAAAACCGGAAATGGCCATATTTTTTTTCTATACATAGATATCACACTGCTTTATATTTGTACAAAATCCTAGACTGGGATGAACAGGAGTTATCACTCTTTATATGGCTAAAGTTGAACAAATTTAACATTAATATCATCAGATTATAATTTAATGAATAGTTATGAAATAATGTTAATTTAAAAATTATGTCTAAATGACAGGCCCTTGCTTTTTTTTATCTTTATCAAAATTTTTGAGAAGTGGCTGGAATAATGAGCTTTGTTTAACACTTTAGTTAAATTTTGTCATATTTATACCTTTATTTGCCTCAAATTGCATTACATATAATACAATCAAAAATTTATAATTAAAATATATCATATATTATAATCATCCAAGGAGTTTTAATAAATTATGACCTTTGTTTTCGTCTAGGGGAATAAAAGCTTGGAATTTTGTGTTCCAGAAATTCTCTTTGCTCTCAAAAATCTGCTTTCAAGATGACTTTCTATGTTCATATATTCATTATTGCTCACAAATATATAATTTACCCCATAGATATTATTTCTTGCATAGTTAAATAAATATATTGTTGTCAATATGTGATGTTCATATAAACGTTGCAAGCTTGCTCGAGCTGCTAACCGTTTAGTAACGGCCCCCAAAATGTCGCATGGACTTTTACCATGTGCGTGTTTCAAAAAATGTCACTCAGCCTTTATCCCAAAATCATTTTCATGATTGTAGAGATTAATGAAATCTTTTATTTTTATATTGGTTACTGCTCCATCAGAAAAATAATAAATTTTAGCCATTCTATTAAATCTTTCCTTCAAGAATACGATCAATTTTTAAAAAAATAGAATGCACATGCGTTGTGCTTTAAACAATCTGATATAACCACTAAATTTATATGTTTTATTATGTTGTTCTCACGGTAATAAATTATAAAAGAGTTAATAGTGGCTTGATTATTGGTCTGATTAAATCCTTTTGCATGTTACTACAAATGCATAATTTTCTGAAAAGCCTGCAATAACTAAGAATTCGCAAACATTTAAATTGAATTTTAAAAAGTTTCGAATTAATGATTATCGTGAAGCTATAAACAAATGAGGAATTAAATTTTTAATTATTCAATTAAATAATCTACAAATTCGTCAGCGTAATTTGTCAGTGTTTCGAGGGTAGTTCGAACAACTGCTATCCATTGTTTGAATGTTTTATAATCTATAGAATTCTCGTCAAATAATATATTAAGTCTTTCTTTTAATTTTGAATATATGGGGGAAAATTTATTGTTGAATTTCAATTTTGGTAGATTATTTTATGCTAAATAAAATATTTAAAATTATTTTGTCAAGTAATTTTAATTTCGAGATAAAATTTAACTAAAGTTCTAAACAGCTCATTATCCCAGCCACCTCTCAATTTTTTTTTGTTGATCTGCTATGGAATTCACCATATATATTTTTTATTTAAAAAGAATAAGAAGTCAACTTACATCATCTACAAACGACTGTAACAATGAAAAGCTTAAAACAAATATCCAAGCAGATTCTGTAGAAATGGATGAGTTTGATTGGTTCAACGTTCGAAAAATGTCATCCAATATTCAAAGCGCTATTGGCGATGATGATAAAGTCGCAGCACAAATTTCTACAGGTATAATGATAGTAAAACTAGATTTAATGAATAATTTAGTAATATATTATCATCATGTAATAAATATAGGGGAAATGTGCCATGAATGGCCATGTTTTTGCTTTTTTGAAAAAAAGGTATAAAAATTTATGTTTAACCAAACAAATTTTATATCAATGCTAAATATTAATCTTTAAAATAAAATTTGAATCAAAGCTCTATGTATAATACTTTATGAGCTAAATGAGATTATGTGAAAGTTGTATTTCTGATACTATGTGTTAACTGGTCATAATATATTATTTAAGAATATTATTTAAGAATATTATTATAAATATGAAATAATACAATATGAAATACTTGTAAAAGACCTATGTTAATGTTTATACATTTTTTAGTTATATAAAAAATTAATTATATATACACTAATTTAATTAGTATTAAAATCTCAATTTATTACCACATCTATTTAATGATAATATTATAAATTAATATTTTAATTATCATTTTACTAAACATTCTTAAGCTTGTTCATCATTTTACTTCACCAAATGTTGTTTTGCAAGAGCTTTTCATTTTAATATTAATATGTGAATGTGCGAATTGTGGCCAATCAATACTCACCTCTCTATTATTATTAAACGCCTATATATGTCTATTAAATAATGCTTTTAAAGTCTAATTTTTTGTGTGAATAATGCTAAATACCTAACGATAATATTTATATAAAATATCAGTAATCTAAGATAGTTATTTTTTCACAAAACAAAAAAATGTGTGACGTGATTTTTCCAGAAAGAGGTACTAAAAAGAGTTTATTTGAAATATTTTTTTATTGAATTGCTCTATTCAATAAATTAACTTAGGTAAGGTATATATCATAAATATACACATTTTGACTAATTTTGAGAGAAATCGATCCAATAGATAAAAAGTTAAAGGGTGGTGGCCAGTCTTCACACATGGCCATTTATGGCACATTTCCCCTACTATTATTATTATTATGGATATTATAGAGTAAATTGTTTAGAATATTTTACAGAAATATCAACAATCTTTCTATGATAAATCAAATGAAAACTGTGTTTTCATTCTGCATCATCCCCGAAATTAATGTTTCTTGCCAGATATTTATAATAATAAGTCAAACAGGAAAGATGAACAACCCAAAAGTTATCCATTTATTGAAGGGGGGGGGAGGTCACCTTAAAAGATCTATATTTTTCATATCACTCTCTTAGCAAATTTACTTTTAAATATATATAATCGTAAGAGTAAAAGCGTGCTAGCTCAACATACCCCCATCCCCATCTTCTTTTATATATATAAGGGATGATTTTTAAACCATCCTAATTAACTTTGAAAATTGTGTTTATCCTCATGTTCTTTGTAATATTTGAAATATCAGGTCTAATCACTAACGAATCTTCGGAGGCTAACACCATAACAAATGATGCCAAAAGATTCGCAGTGGATGATGATGGTTGGCTATATACCGACCCATCTCTCAAATCAAACAAAACATTAAATATAGGAAGTAGCAAAAATGTTGAAATTGTCACTCGCAAAAATGACAGGGACAATCTCGAAGCGGATACCCATTTGAAAAAAGTTGTAGTGACAAGGTATAAGAAATCATTCGATCCCGATCCCCTATTTTGTATTCTCGGGCGAGAGGTGATCTGCGATACAAAAGTTGTACAAACTCATAGACATGATTATAATAATAAGGATAGTGGCAATGAAATTACTGGCGTGATAATTGAAAAAGAATCTAATGTTGCGTCGAATTTAAAAGATGTCACAAAAAATATTAATGGTAATGGTGTATTAACTACTAAAAAAAGGCTTAATGATGTCGAAGACGAAGACATAAAAGTAACGCGTATTCAACAAAAATCTCAATCACACGTTAAAATTCCGAAAAGGGTTATATTTAATTTTATATTTATTTATAACAAAAAAATATATAGTTATATGATAATGTAATTTTATTTCATAATTTTTTTTTCTCGTATCTATGAATAGGAGGATCCTATGAAATTTTTTGATTTTTCTATCAAACGTCGAATCAATCAAGACAGCAAAAAATTAAAACCGTCATAAATTCTATATTTGCTTAACTTCGCATATCCCATATTTATAAACTCTAATAATGTAATACTAAAATAAAAATCAATGATAATTATTATAAATATGTAAATTTAATGATAAATATAGTTATCGTGGAAGTAAATATGATGGGATCAGTTTATTATGTTCAGTAAAAAATAGAGTTTGCTAAATTTATGGAGTAAAAAAAGGAAAAACAGGGGTGCGGGTTCACGGCTTTGCAACAAATTTTAAATGGCCAAAATAAACCGGTCCTGGTCTTTGAGTGCAAAAGTAACATGTAGGGCTCCATATATCGAACTCTGTTTTTGACATTTTATAAGATAGTGGGGTCAGAAATTTATCGAAATAAATTAAAAGATGGATAAAGCGGATTTATTTTGAAATTTTATGCCCAGGAGGGCCGATAGACCAAAAATTCGTGGAAACATATATTAATTATTATTATCCGTTTAAATCAATATAATTTAAAACAATCTTTTTTATTGCCTAATAACTACCTTCACATTTAAAATGGTACGACGGTTGTACTAACGGCCGGCGTTACTCTTTGGAAAAGGAACGCCATGTGTTACTTGTTTCAAAAGTAACGAGTAACGCGTAAACTTTTTAAGTAAGGTAATGAACGTTACTCGTTACTTTTTTTTAAAACAACAGGAAAATAAATTTTTTATACCTTTTATAATACTCATCCCTCGCTTATGTTTATATATCTCTCATCTTTTTATATATTAGAGAATATTCTAATTCCTAATATGATAAAAAAAATCCTTTATACATATTAATCCTTCATTTTGACCTCTGTTAAGATCCCATTCTACTTTAGGAACAATAGCAGCTGTATTTGGGGTTATAAGAAAAATATTTAATAATTCCATTTTTCTCCTATCTCCAGTCATTAACCATAAGAACTTATTATTTATGGGGTTAAAACCTGCAACGCGAATCTTCCATGTCGGGAGAAATATTATATGCAATCTCAGGATTTTCTTTTATATTAATTATTGTCTCAGAAATCATATTTTTTATTTCATTTTTTTGGACTTATTTTAGCAATAATTGACCACCCTTTGAAACTCCCCTTTTTGAACATCATTATTTTATTGATAAGAGGAATTTCTATTACTTGAACCCATCACTCATTTTTCTCAAGACAATGGTCTAATTCCGTTTTTTATCTAACTGTTATCACTGTGATACTTGGCATGTATTTTACGTATCTTTAAGGAGAAGAATACTTTCAATCCTCCTTCTCAATCTATGCCCGCCAAGAATGACGGGGAATTAGAATTTTCTCCTTAATTTGATGACGGATGAATTAACCTAATTCATAAAAATAAAGGGGATTCTGATATATCCATCAAAAAATAAAGGGAAAATGATACCCCATCATTAGCACCAGAGCTCTCGTTAGTCAGCATTGCTGTTCGCTCTCCACATTGTGAAGATGGGAGATAAACTTTAGGGTAGCAAAGAAAAGAAAAAAATAATGGATTAAAGAAGGACGAAATGGAAAAAAGAAGTAAAAATTTCGATTATAAGAAAATATAATAATGGGAGATGGACTTTAGGGTAGCAAAGAAAAGAAAAAAAGAATGGATTAAAGAAGGACTGTCAAAAATATACTTAACGTTAACTATATGAAAAAATGAGGCTAAATTCTAAAATAAGAATAAACTCAGAAAGGCAACTACTGAATTAGAAAACTAAATTAACAATTATAAAATAAAGGAAACACGGAACTGAAACTATCAAATTTGCAAAATAAATTAAGAATTCTAGAAAACGTTCTTTAGACACATATCTTTATTAAGTAAAATATTCATCAAATTACAAAAAGTCAAATTGTAAAAAATCCAAAGTTTATAAAAATTAAAAAGTGAATTTATCAACAAAAATTTATAATATATATCGATTTCTAATATAAAAAAAATGACTGACATTTTTTTAACTATAACAAATATATATATATATAAAAAATGATTGACATTATATTATAAAATGTATCATTTACGACGACGAAATGGAAAAAAGAAGTAAAAATTTCGATTATAAAAAAATATAATAATTGTATACTACTTTATGACTTGACGAATATAGTATAGGGTTCCAACTAGTGTTATTAAAAAGTCCTACGATTAAGAATTTAGCTAAATAAATATTATGTAAACATCGAGATTTGGCGAATAGATGTCCAAGCATTTCTGGCAGCTAGCAAAATATTTAGGTCAACATAATGTTATTTTGGTAATAAGCTTAATCGGCCCTTTTTTAAAATCGGGGTTTTTAAAAATAGTTTCAACACCGTGCATTTATAACCAGATAAAAAAAATAATAAGCATAGCCTTAGGCAGCTGTGGCCAATATTAAGTTGCGAGTTCGATTCTACTTCATGGCTTGTTGCACTTTTTCACAAAATGTGATAATTCTTCTATGACACGGCTTTAATTATATAAGGATATGGCAATATGATTAAACTGAGGAATTTAATGGAAACTTAACTTTTTAATATTGATTTACCACTTTTATAGTTTAAACAAGCTTGAGACACTGACTCCTTTATTATATTTAAATTTATAATTCACAAAGAATTCCAAAAAATATAGTAACAAAAATAATATAAGATAAAAAGGTAATAATTTTTATAATCTAAATACATTTTTTAACGCTTTTTATATCTTGTATTTTTTCTCAAATAAATATTAATTTTTTCACTTCTCAAGAATTTAAATTATAAATTGCATAGTCAATCATAAAATTTTTTGTATTTTCTAAATTTAAATTCAAGTAAATTCTTTAATAATATTCATTTTTAGATTTAAAAAAATATATTTCATATTCATTTTAAGCTTATATAAAAATTCAATTAATAAAAATTAATATATGTATTTTTCTATATTTCAAATTATATAATTCAAATAATTTGTTCCTTTTTTAAAATTAATAATTAAATACTTCCGAATTAAAAATGATAAAAACTTTCTTATGTTTCAAGATAAAAAATCAACTATTAAAAAAATATATAAATAATTGATTGCCATTTCTTAATTATAAGCATTTATATTTATTTATTCAATTTCTGCGACATGCGCGTCATTCATAAGCCCAGTGTTTCATCGTTTCTCGGAAGTTAGTATTTATCGAATCGTCTATCTATTTGAAATGTCTCAACTTTTAGTAATTGAACTTTCCATATTGGTTTAATCATTTAATATAGGTAGTTTTATAAAAAAATATAAATAATCCTAAATCATCCATTTTGGTACTGATTTATGGAATATATTTTCATGAAATATAATTTATTTGGGGTACCTATTTATAATATACGATTTATACATAATTGAAAATTTTTTCTAATAAACAATTCCAACCACTCCCCTCTTTAATTTTAATGAGGCGAATCACAATTTAAAGAAAACTTATAGCCTAGTAAATAAAGGGGAAAAGACAAAAATAAGCCATTTACTTCCCTCTTCCGAATGGAAAAATTATTTTTAACAAAAAAAACTTAGAAGCCTTCAACAAATTCATTTATATAAGAAAAACAACGGCATGGTAGAAAGAATTTTTTTGAACATTATCCTGACCTGTACATAACATTTCCATAACACCAAATTACACAATTAACCTGGCTTTCTCTCTATATCATTAATTCATATTGTATCTTGTAGATTTCTGTTTATAAGTAATTTAGACAAATATATAACCGATTACTTCCTACCCTTTATTTCTTGAATTATTTAGTCTACCCATTCTAGTATACCCCTTGTAAATTTCTTATAAATAATTATTTTTATTTATAGCAAATTTGTTAACTGGAATAACAATTTCAATTTTAGGACCATTTTCCTTATATATTTTCAAAACAATGTGCCACTTTATACCAGCTTCTCCCTTGGTTATATTAGTTTGTTATGATATTTCTTGAATAATATAATATTTCTACTTGGTATTTCCACTATTTATAAATATTATTATTTTATTGATAACCAATTTGTTAACTGAGAATTTTATGACTATTTTCGTATTTCTGTCAATTTTATAATCATAAAAATATTATTGAGTTTTCACCCATTAACTAGAAATATATGAAAAATTTATATATACCGTTAAAAGTATATTTTTAAAACAATTTCCATTTCTAAATTTCAGCTTTAATTCCTCTAATATTTAAAATTTAATTTTTAAAAAATTTCTTTCCCATGATAATAAAAATCTACTTTCTTATAACTCTTTTTTAATTAAGGTTAAAATTCATTTTGTAATAATTGCAATTTCTTAATTATTAAATCATAAATATATCTAAAAGTTCCTTAATCCCTTCAACGCAACCTTTTTTTTATTGTCAGTTGATATATTCTCTGAATCCAAATTCTTTTAATAAGTTGTAAATATATTTCACCTTTTTCCTTTTCATCATACACCACCTTTTGATCTATTGGATCCTGAATGACCCCGATTTTCCCATACGATCCTTCCACATTTCTCCTCTGACTCATTATTTCCGATCTTTCTCCTAATATTCCTCCTGATTTCTCTCTTAGAATTATTTCCTCTACCTCTCCCCTAAGATTCCTCCCAATTTCTTCCTGGAATGATTTCCCTCATAGAACTATTGCCCCCGATTTTTCTCATAGAACTATTCCCCCCTCCCGTTTCTTCCACTAGATACTCCCCCCCCCCTCCCCCCATATTTTAACTAGAAACACCCCCCCCCCCCCTTCCAAAAAAATAAATAAATTTCCTCTCTTAATATTCCCCCCTATTTCCTCATCTTTTATGAATACACTCCTCTCTCCCATGTCCTTTATAGTTTCTCCTCTTAGAGCCACCATACCTTATCTCCCTTCTCACTCCAGACTGAACATAGATTCAATCCCCTACAATGTTCTCTCACTATGATGTGCTATACCTCTTTATTCATCCTAGTTATTGGTACAAACATATCTCACCAAGAAAATACTCCCCGCAAAAACTATACCATGGATCTATTCGGGGGGTCCAATCCTACCCAAACACCGCTTCTACTCTCCGA